ACCACTTAGTTCAAGGATGCTGTTGGAAGGAGGTTCAGCTTCCGTACCATCTGTACAAACATCGGCTGTGAGCGACAATACACCTAGTATACGACAACTTGACGCGCCTGCTAACGTTACCTACTACACAGGGCACCGAGAAGCTCATCAAGGAAGCCTTTCTTCACGTTGAAGATATCGGACCACAGGGTTCAAGACGGCCGTTACGACATCATAGGGCCATCCGGTGACGATAATACTTCCATCAGTTTGGGAGCATGTCATACAAACGATGAGGATGGGTATGGTGGTAGTGGTGGAGATGGGGGGGAGGAACAAGGCGCTCAAGGCGTTTGCTGAGAGGAATAAGGAGGGGGCGCTGAAGACGCGGCCGAAGGGGTTTAACCCGGAGCATCGGGATATGCAGCTGCTGAAGCTGAAGAACTTCACTGTCGGTACCAAGGTCAGCGAGAAGTTGTTTACCGAAGCGGGGTCGCAGGAGCAGATTGGGCAGATTGTGGGGGATATGGTTGGATTTGTGAGTATTCCTTCCTTTCTTTCTTTCTTCCTCCCTTCGGTCAATGACCAATGGGTGTTCAGTTGCTGGTGTGGGCGGTGCTGACTTGGCTAGATCACCCATCTCAACCGGATTGTCATGCCGGATCCGGGGGATGATGACGATGATGATGATGATGACGAGGACGAGGTTCAAGTCGAGGGCGAGTGACTGCGCAACGGGGACGGCAGTGAGTTAAAGCGGTCTGAATTAGAGGGGTTGGTAATTTTGCATAAACATTAGATGTTATCCTCGCTCTACTTTGGATGAATACCCCCACCACCACTACTTCCAAAAACCTTCCGTCCGATCTTTTCTGCCATAATCACATGCACCCCGTCATCACACGCAAAGAAACGCGATTCATTATTAACGGTGGGTATCGAGTATGAGATATTAAAGCCGCGCCAAAGCTCCCCGCAAAATCAAAGCACCGAGCACCAAGCACCAAGCACCGTGTGGCATCGTCAGGCTATCATCCATTTCTGCAGCATATCTGCCGCCCAAAAAAGACGGCCCAGACCGATCGCCATCCCGGCGTCACTCGCCCTCTATCCCGCCTTCCCAGTGTCCCATCAATCCGTCATTCCTCCGGGTCGTGGAATCGTTGTCGGGAAGTGTCGGTCAGAACTTAGGCGGTAGGAGCGGGGGCCGCAGCAGCCGGAGCCGGAGTAGCGGCAGCGGCCGCATCCTCCTTCTTCTCCTCAGCCGCGGGGGCCTCGGCGGCAGGAGTCTCCGTAGCAGCAGCCTCAGCGGCCGGGGCCGGGGTGGGCTCAGTCGCAGCGGGGGCGGCGACGGTCCCGGTAGCAGCGGGAGCTGCAGCGGCCTCGGTGGCAGGAGTGGCCGCAGCCGCAGCCGGAGCGGGAGTGACTTCGGCAGCCGGGGCGGCAGCAGCCGCCGTGGTCTCGGTGGCAGCCACAGCTTTGGAAAGGGTCAGCGTGCGGGCGGGGGTGTCTGCTGGGGAGCCAAACGTACCAGGAGCCGGAGTCTCCTCCGTCTTCTGCTCAGCAGCCGGGGCCTCAGTGGCAGGGGCAGCCGCAGTAGCCGTCTCGGCTATATCGCCATTTCAGTCAGCTCTTCTTTTTCTTGCCTCCATGGGGCGACTGTCTCGCAGGGCAACTCACCGGCAGGAGCCTCAGCAGGAGCCGCGGCGGCAGCGGTATCCGTCTTGGTCGCCTCGGTAGCCGCGGCGGTGGTCGCAGCAGCAGCAGCCGGGGCTGCAGCGGTAGCCTCCTCGGCCTTGGGGTTAGCCTTCGCGGCCTTCTTCTCACCGCGCTTCTTGAAGGCAGCCTTGAGCTTGCCCTTCAGGTTATCGAACGCGCCGAACGCTGCGAAAAAAAAGAACTTTGGTCAGTCGCGTGCTCTTGGCCGTTTAGCTAGGGAATCCATCGCGACAACGCGCCCCTTGGAGCACGTGGCCGTCGCCAGGATCGGCAGATGGCGCGGGCGGCGACACTCGCTGCCTCGATGGCCTCGCCCGAGTCGGCGCCCTCGAGCGACCCGACCCGACTGATTCTGGCGATTCTGGCGATTCCGGCACCCAAAGAACAGACACTGAAAGGGCAACTTACGAATGCCAGGCATTTTTGTGGTATTGAAATAGGGCCAAAGCGCACAGGGCTGTTAATGAGGGTGTTTCAAGATGCAGGAGAGATGAACGCAACGTCGTTTTCTGCCAACGCTGGTGCTTGGTGATGGAGTTGGCGGCGACGGTCAAGCACCCAGATCGTGGAAGAAAAGAGGAAGAAGAGATCTGGACCCGCGCCTGCAACAGGTAAATAAGCTCACCCTCGCCGAGCGTGTGACAGACACGCGGGTTCCGAATTGCAGGCCCCTCGCGCCGCACCGAACGCAACCGAACACACCCAGAAACAACTCCCCCCTAGACCCCTGGACCCTGGTCTCCGCTTCTCCCTCTCCCGGCTCCATGCCACCTGAGACAGGGCTAGAAAGCTTGGTTCAAGGACCGCCCAAAGCTCACAATCTCCCCAGAGGGTGCCAACACGAAGCCTCTCATCACGGCAAAAGGATTATCATGGCTGTGCGTGGGATTCCCAGATGGTTCCTGGTATTGGGTGGTGCCAATGTCACATCGTCAGCGGCAGAGATGCCCAAAGATGTGTCGCGCTTAAATAACCTCATCTGCACCTGCATCCCGCACATCTCGCATCTTGGAACCAGGTTTAACCAGGGGCGGCTAATAATCATATGTGGCTTTTTAGTATGGAGCGATGTGCTATGTTTATCTCGAATCCCTTGGGTCGCATCTAGCGAATCCTCATTACGGGCCGACACCTTGCAGGACCTGAAGCACTGGTCTTGGTTGGGGAATCTCAGGGAATCACTGGGAATTTGTTGGTTACTTGTCATCTTCGTTTGTCATGGGAGGTACGCACAAACACAGCAACAAAGTGAAGCACTGAGGCAGCCATTCAGGGGTCTTCCAGGGTCTTTGTCGAGACCCCTTTGACGCGCTATTCATGCAGGTATGCAGTAGCTCCATGCTGCTCAATCATTTAAACTGCCCCCACAGCGGCGACTCGTGGGGAACCCTTCCAGCGGTTAACCCTGTTGCCAAACGAAACATTGGAACCCACTGGACTGTGCTTTTTGGTCTATCAGCGGTGTGGTTGACATGTCTCTGAGAACTTGTTTCTAAGACCTGTTCTAAGACCTAACAATTACTCAAAAAGCATTGTTGAGGCCCATGTGTTCAAAATGAGGGAATCCGAATTCCAGCAGTATTGACGCCCTTGCATTACCATTCACAGGTTAATATGACAACGCTGGTTCATGCACTGGCATTGTCAACATTCGACTCGCACGCAACAATAATAAGACACTTATAGGAAACATGCTAGAGTACTTGCCACTAGTGAGTGTATTCACTGGGTATTCGTTGGATGTCATTCTGTTATGTTACTTGAGCCCTCCTTCGGCACTCACTCAACGAAGATGAAGAGGAACATGGAGAAGAGCTATGAAGGGAAGAAAAAAACATCATTGCTATCGCTAGAAAGAAGGAAAGGGAGATGGGAAGAAAAAAGGAAAAAGGATGAAATGAATCTGAGATACTGGGCGTTCTCTTACTTACAGATCGGATTGTTGAAGTGGGGCTACCTAACGTTTTGACCTCTGCTCCTAGCCACCACCTCAACAACTGCCTCTCATCGAAAGCCCAATCGACACCATGCAATTGAAACCAGGGTTTAATCCTCTTAGTATCGACAACAGTTGTGGGTTGGTGCACTTCCGGCACCCTGCGTATCCGGACACGGAACCCGATCTCCGTCTCAGCCCAACTCGACGGTGGAGATGGCAATGGAGATGACAATGGAGATGGCGATGAAGATGGTAATGGAAATGGCATTTAGTACGACTTTGCGCTCGCATCTTGTTGCGTTGTGACCGGAAACACTTTCGCAAACGGATGGCTCGCAACTCGCGTTCTGCCTGGCAACGGCCAGAACCGTTTTTCCATCGCGTTTCTCGCCCAGAAGATGGCATTCTCCGAGATGACGAATATCACTTTTGCGTTGGGGAGGAGGACCCCACGACCTTCAAATACCCTGTTATCCCGTCCTTCGACCACTGGCGGTTTCCACACGGACATCTCCCGCCACCATAGAAGAACCTCAATGTCGACCTCGATGCAGCGCACCACACTGCCCCCCTTAAAGGCAAGATAGCTGCGCTGGCCCGCGACGGCACGTGCCGTATCTCGGGGTACGGAGACGCCGTCGAGGCCGCGCACCTCGTGCCCCTGGCCAACAGGCATTGGTTCTCGTCCAACAACATGGCAAGATATTGCCGTTTCCCCACAGACCCCCACCCCATCAGCGACGAAAGGAACCTGATCACCCTCCGCCGCGACCTGCATCACCTGCTGGACACGCGCCGCTTTACCCTCGCAGCCAAGCCCGTCTCCGCTTCGCCGCAACCGTCATCACCGACCACGCCACCCCCCGGCGCCCACGCACCCACCGCCCAGCTCTCCCTGCACGTCATGCTCTCCTCGCCGTCCGGCCAGCTCGCAGATTTGTACCACAACCGCGTGCTGCAGCTGGTACGAGGCATCGCGGTCGAGTTCCTGTTTGCGCGCTTCGCCTGGACGCTCTTCGCAGACGAGACCATGCCTTTCCTCAGCGGCGCCGTCCGGCACAACGTGCTGCTGTTTGATCCAGCCGAGGGCCGCTTGGGCGAGGACTCACTGCGGGCGGCTGAGGTTCGTGAGCGTGCTGCTAACGTCTTTGAGATGTGCTACTCCAGCCGCAGCGTCAGTCCTAGGAAGCGATCGCGGCCGGGTCATTCTCTCGCGCTGACGGATGCCGAGGGCTTTGAGCTGGGGGCGGCTTCGGAAATGGGCGGGCCGGACGAGGAGGAGGCGGACTGGGATGCGAGTGAGGTTGACGACGAGAGCGATGAAGAGCAGTGGACAAGAGGGCGGCGCAGGAAGCGAAGCCATGGCGCTTCGGGGCGGGAGGACAATAACACGGCCCCCAGCCTCGGGGCTTCCTCCGTATCGGTGTCGGGCGCCAGCGTTGCCACTGCTCCTAACGAGCCACCTCCAGAGGCGCCATTGAAGGTAACGGATGGACCCGCTGGGCCAGATAGCAAGCGTTCGCGAAGAACTCTTGCTTGGCGCCGATGATGGCGGTAAGGGGCCCACACCCACTACACGGCCCAAATCCGGCACCTCCCGTCGACGCATGCGTAGTGGAAAGATGGGTGTGTGAAGAAGTCGGTGCTTTTTTTTTTTTCCCTGAAAAGGAAAGAAAGATAACTGTGGGGTGGGTGCAGACGGAAAGAAGGCTAAAAGAAAGAGAGGGAAAAAGGGGAGAGTAAAAAGAGGAGAATAGATAGAAAGAGGGGAAGAAGAGAAAAAAAGAAAGAAAGACAAAAGAGAAAAAGAGGGAAAAAAAAAGAAAAAAAAAAAAAGGAAAAGACTTAAAAGTCAGGGCATCAGTAACCATTCCGTAGCCACCCCCTTAAGAGCTCAGACCCTCATTCTTTAAGCATACGCCAGGATGTGGAAGTATCAACACTCTCCGGCAGCCACGCCAGACCATGCCTTGAGAACTGAATATCTAGTAATTACATCTATCCTCTACAGCTAATACCATTCATTACACACCGCAACATCCCAGCCACAATGACCCACCACCGGACAACAAACCAACCCCTCCCCTCCCTCCCCAGAACCCGCCCCCACCCTTTCAACCCACCACCTCACCAACCACCTACTCCTCCTTCCCCGTAGCAGCAGCAGCAGCAGAAGCAGCAAACTTAACCTTAATCTCCTCCTCCCCAAACCTCCTCGTATGCCGCCGCAGCATCTCGGCGCGCTCGTCCAGCGTGAGATCGATCTGGGCGCCGATGGGCACCCCCCCCCCCTAACATCCAGTCTCCCCCCTTCAGAGCAGCGGCCACTGCTACAACGACGGCTACCATTTGGGAGAACCACAGGGATCTCGCGGCGGCGCTGGCTGCTCTTCTCGGTGAACAATTCACGGCAAAAGGACCCCTACCACGCCGAGAAGTTTGTTGTCTTCCACAATATGTACTTCTTTATTATCATGGTGCGCCTTCTTATGAAGGACTTCTTTTGGCCTCGCAGGGGGCATTCTCTTTATAAACGCCAAGAGGATTCTGACGGGGGCGGGGGGGGGAGGGTGATTGACATACCGGCACGTCAATCAGGGTGATGCTCGAGCGAAAGTCCGAGTCCGGCTCGTCGGCGTCGACAAAGGCGTGCTGGCCCCAGTTGCCGACCATCAGGCCGATGCGCATGAGCGTCAGGGGGCAGATAAAGACAAAGGTGGCGGCGCGGCTGTTGAGCTGGTACATCATGTAGATGGCCGTGTAGTTGGACAGCTCCCAGAAGGCGGCGCGGGCGGCGTTGGCGTACTTGCCCTTCCGCAGGTAGTACAGCGGCAGGTCCAGCCAGATCAGGACCAGGAAGCGGCCGATGTAGTGCAGGAAGTGCAGCAGCTCGTCGCGCTGGTAGCGCAGCGTCGACGACAGGTCGTCCGGCCCGTTGCCCTCGACGTGGTGGTGCTTGACGTGGTGGTAGAAATACGTGTTCCACGTGTGGCCCATCAGCGGGTCCGTGACGTAGGGGAAGTAGGTGTCAAACAGGCGCAGGAGGGGCCGCTTGGCGAGGATGCCGCCCATGTGGATGTGCTGGTGCATCATGAGCGTGTACGTGCCCATGTACCAGAACTGCATGACGAAGTGGAAGATGCCGTGGAGGTAGGTGAAGTTGTAGAACAGCCAGATGGCGCTGGGCAGCGACGTGGTGAAGTACATGATGAGGTGTGTCAACATCAGGACGTCGGTGTCGTGACGCACAATGGTGCGGGCCCAGGCGATGTATGGCAAGACGACATTCTGGTAAACGACAGCGGGGAGCTTGGCCTGAAGATCCGCGAGGTCGAGCGATGAGATGACAGTCGGCTCAAAGTCCTTGCTCTCGTGGTCATTGAACCCATTCAGCTTTTGAATGTCGCTGGCATCCCTCTCCTCTGAGATGCCATATTCTGTGATGCTTATCTCTGATGTCAGTCATCTGATCTGATCTGCCACGCGAAATCTTCAGGGTAATCGGCACGCACTGTTGATAGCGTTCTCGGCAGAACGGCCAGAGCCTGTACTGGAGTAGCCCTCATCGCGGTCGACCTTGGAGCTCGCCCCTTTGATTTCCTTGTGCCGTTGGATGTCGTCGGCGAGGTTTCGTAGCAATAGGGTGTCAGGAATGGTCAATTCCGGGCTGTATATGATTTCCTCCATGGTTGGGATATGCTGGTTGGATGAAAACAGGTGGTGTTGTTGATGGGTTTGTTTATCAGGTGTCAGGGGTGAAGCTTGGAAATCCAGCCGAGTTTTTTGAGATCAGGGTTGAGATGAGATGAACCATAAACTGAATTCAAAAGGCAAGAGTTGAGCTCGCAATCCAAGACGAAGTTGCTAGGCGCCAGGCCTGTGGTAATTAGTTGAGACTCGATGCACTTCACGAGAACATGTACAGGAAACCTTTCGAGATTCGTACAAGAACTGCGCCGTCCCGTCAACAACTCGAGGCGGCGTAGAATGCAGGACCAACTTGACAGTTGCCTGTCAAAATCTTGAAACCCACTTGTTTGGTCAGGCCACACCTTGCAGCTCTGAGCTCAGACCATGCTGATGGTGGGTTTTTGACCCCAGCAAACTGGAAGATTGGCCAATCATCTTACATAGCAGCTGGAATGCCGGCGGGTTCTTGGCGGGCTTAATCTGAATTGAAATTGTGTACGTTATCACCGACGCGTCGCTTTTTTCAGGGGGCAGCAGACGAAACGACCAGTCTGTTCCATGTTGTCCTGGTTGTTGAGTGCTAACTAACTATGTATTGAGAGTTTTAGGTGGGAGTTTGCGTTACAAAAGCTCAAAGACGGTGTGGGGGTTAAACAATCGTATTTTCTCAGTTCCGGCAACTATACCTTTTGCAGATACACGACCCGACTTAGGGGCTGAACGCAACCCTCCGCAAGAGCGACCACAATACATTTTTATGTTTATAGAGGCTGATAATTGACAAATATGCGAATGAGATTGGGCCTATATTTACAAATTCCCGTAAGATGAGACGAGAAAACGACCGGGAGAAGCAAGTCAAACCAGCAAAGTCCCATCAACCGAGAAATCGCATACTACAAAGGCTAAACAAACCGCCCCTTATTAACTAACACCACCCACCTTCACCACACCAACACTCTACAACTTCCCCTTCTCCGCCCTCCCCTTCTTCCCCCCCTCCCTCACCTCCTGCGCACTCCTCAACAACGCATAAAGCGTCTGCAACCTGGGCATCTCCACGCCCCTTGCCCTCGCAATCCTGACCGGATTCCCCAAGATCACCTCAATCTCCATCGGCCTGCCGGCCTCCCAATCCAGCAGCATACTCGGCTTGCTGCCCACATTCCGCTCCGTGCTCCTCAGGATCTTCTCCGGCCCCGCCAGCGACGCCGGGAACGCGCGTCCCAGGACCTGCGGCGCGGCGGCCCAGATCTCGCGCATCACGCCCGCGAGGTGGGCGCGCAGCTCGGCGTCGCGCGCCATGTCGGCGTTGCCGCGCCCGCCCGCGAGCACCGCCGAGGGGTTGAACGCCGCATTGATGCATAGCTTGTGCCACCGGATCGTTTGCAGTGCTGTCTCGTCTGCAGCCAGGTCCACGTCGCGGATCTGGCCGAGCCGCGTCCACCAGTCGGAGAGCAGGGCTGCGCGGTGCGCGCCGGCTTGTTGGAGGGCGGCGGAGGTGGGGTGGGGGGTGCTGCTGCTGCTGCTGCTGCTGCTGCTGTTGGTGTTGTTGTTGCCGGTGGTGGTGCTGGGAGAGGGGGAGGCGCCCGTTGGGGTGAGCGCGCCGGTTGTGTCGTCGCCCCGCGGGTAGCTGGCCGTGGCTTTGTCGGAGGGCGGGGAGAAGGAGGCCGAGTCGGAGTAGGGGCCGATGTGAATGCGGGTCCAGCGGTTCTGCCGGACGGTGCCCGGGGAAGTCTGCTCGGCGGAGATGACGGTGACGGCGCTGATTATGGGCGTGGCGGGGAAGCGGGTGCGGTAGGGCTGCTCGACGCCGACGCCGTTTTGGATGAGTACGATACACGAGTTGGCGCTAACGAGCGGGGCGATGAGAGCGCTGTCGTCGGAGCGGTCAGGCAGTGCCTTGGTGGTGACGATGATGTAGTCCCACTCGTGAGGCCCGGCGCCCGACGGACTGGGGTTGGCGGCGGCGGCGGCTACCGAGGGGAAGACAGCGTGCGGGCGGAAGGTATAGTCCCCGAAAGTGTGAGTTTGAAGTTGGACGCCATGCTCGGCAAGGGCTTTGTAGTTGGAGCGGGCGATGAGCGAGACATGGATGTTGTGAGATGGCTACTCGGTTAGTGAGGTGCTCCTCTCGATGAGATGCAGACTGACTTACATGGTGTAGCCGCGAGGCGTAGAAGCACCCAACAGCGCCGGCACCAACGAAGACAATGTGGATGGGCCTATGTCGGTCAGTTTGTTTCCGTCTCATCCCTCTTCCAGTAATCCCTTCGAGTTACCGTACCTATCCGGGTCGGTGCCCGGGCTCAAAGACTCAAGCCCACCCATCTTGCGAAGCGAGGTGTGAAACACAGGACCAGCAATTCCCTCCCCTGCTATTCCTCCGTGCCCGACTCTCAACTCAGGCCTTCCGAACTTGCTTCCCCTTCTCGTCGTTTGTCGATCCCGGGATTGTCCGTGTTGCTGCTTGCTGCCCTCACTGTTTTCCGATTGACCAACCGTAACAGACTGGTCACTTCGGCCTCCCCGAAAACCAGATATCTCACAAATTCAATTGGCCAATAAATGGATCCGATCCTCTCCCAAGACGCACGTTCTCAACACGTTCTCAGCACGTTGCAAGCACGTTTCAAGCAACCAGCGAGCTCTAAAAAAAGCCAAGCAAACAAGCCACTGCAATCGAATCCTGCACAGTTCTCCTGATGAGAAAAGTAAATGACGCAGACGAGTTGGTGCAACCCGAGGTTTTTGATCGCTCTTCTCCCCAAACCCGGAAGGATGGAAAGTCGTCAATGGGGGAATGAACGACCGAGAACCGCCGGCTCGCGTCGCGCAATCCGAGTGGCGCCCTTGGCTTGGCCCCGCACCTCACTCGCTCACACCCGCTGTTTCCCCATGCGGGGAACGTGCAAAGCCGGCGGGACTCGGCCGGTTCACGGCAGCATTGGTGGGGCTCAACTTTGCCGAGTCCCGGACCTGTTCATACCATTCTTCTGTCTTTCATCTGTCCGCTGGGACTCGGGTGTGTGGTACGACAGAATCAATTTACTTTTCTTTGGAGGTGGGAAGAATAGACGAGCAGGTTGGAGAGACTAAAATAGTTGGAGAACTTAATCAAGCCATGTTTTGGTTACAAAAGGTCTAGATTTGTCTCGACTTCTTACACCACAGCTCCGGCTTGTCTTGCTCTATCTTTATCATGGGCGAGACATCCGAGGGCTCGCAATGCGACCTGCTTGTCTCAGAGACACGCAGAATCAGCGTGTCGAAGGCTGACGCAATTTGAGCCACTTGTGTTCTGTCGTACCGTCATGAACCCAACCACATGTTCCCGCCACCAAGCGCGTCATCTGATATTGGGCGGCCGTGTGACCTTCGACCACCGAATCTCCAGTATTTCATGGTGTTGTGATACGGCTGCGGAATACTATTATAGCATTTCCGCCCCGGCCTCTCGACTGGGCGGGAGCACATCAACGCCCCCATCTTTGGAAGCAATAGGCTTGACGTTATCGTCTGCAATCCCTTTGACACAGAGTTGTGATATCATTACTTGCAAGAGCGCTCGCCATCCTTCATCGGCATCTTTGCGAAGTCAGGCCCGACGCGGGGTGGCATGCGAGGTTGGCCTACACCGGTGTGATGATCTCTCCTAGCTGAGAACTACCTGCATTGCGTTATGGAGGCACACATGTTCGTTCCTGTGCAGCACGGGCCGGGATGACTTCTCGTCTCTGGCGCGCCTTCCGTGCGCCTTTGACGGAAACGGCTTTGCTATGTTTCGATATGTAACCTCTACTGATTCCCGGGTATCCTTGAGTATCAAGACGATTTCTCAACACGGGCGCCCAGCAACGGGTCCAAGTTCGTAATCTATGCCAACGGCAATCATCCGCGCCAACAGTGATAATGACTGCGGATGTAGGTACACGCAAAAGAGCGAGTACCCGCCATGGCAATTCGAGACCCCCGGTCGGCTTCCCATACCTCCGTCATCGCGATTGACGCGATGCGCACGTGTGGATGCGGGGCACCAAGCCGCGACCTGCTGCCCCGGTTCATCTTCCGCAAGGTAAGGTACGGGCCATGCAGTGGGCAGGCTCGGCGTCCGCCAAGTCGGCTTCCCGCAGCATCGTCTGAACTCCTTCCAAAAAGGAAAGGATAAACACGACATGACGGCGCGGGCAAGCGGCCAGGTTTCTTGCTCTCGTTACATAAACGGAGCGAGTCACCTTTTTCGGCCACGCTCGTGTGATTAAGCGCTGTCTCACCCACGCAACGGGGCTTCGCGGGTGTGCCCCCCATGGCCAACGAGCTTCGTTGCCGGCACGCCAACCAACTTGACGAAGCGTGCTCTGAGTGGCGTCGATAGACGCATGGGTCTGATGCCAACTTGATGGGGGCGCGTGGGGGTCGCCCACATGGAACACCATTCGAGTTCAGCTCCTGGCACTCACTTGAGCTAGCAGGCGACCTGACAGGGCAGATAGCCCAATTGGATTGCCCCGCTGCATCCTCACTTGAATCCTTGACACAGCGGAGAAGAGCAACTCCTCCGTCATCGGTATGAGTTGGTGCTGGGTGCGGTAGCTACCGCCACGCCACTCCAGCGGTCAGATTTCCGTGCCGGAGGGAGTGTCGGTCCAGACCGAAGCCGGATCGGGTGCAAGTCCAGAGTGCGCCACCCATACCAATCTGTCGGAGAATGAGTGCAAGAATTGCCAAGGAAAACTTGATGCCAAGTTCTGGCCAGGCCCAGGGGACGGGATTGCCTAAGCAGCGCCTTGGCTGAATGATGCCCGAGATTTCCACGACAAGCTGTCGGTGAGGTCCCTTTAGGCCGTCATGAGATTCTGGAAGGTTGACCGAGCAGGGCTGAATCACGTTTGTCGATCGTCCTTTCCCATGGGTCGCCAAGGATCTAGCCACGATGAAGACGGCAAGTCGGGCTAACGGCCCAAGGTTGGGCCTAGACATCGCTGAAGGTGGTGCCTTTGATCATGGATGACCGGAAAGTCCGGGTTCGGCGAAGACTTGTCTCGTGGCTGCTGACGACCCGCGATGCCGGTCGTATGATATCTAGCCCTCGGGGAGACCACCGTCCGCTCCGCTGGCTAACACGAAGGGATTCTACAACTTGTAGATGTGATTCTGACGCTGGCAGGGCTCGCCCCGGGTTTGCGATTTGGCGGTCGAACTTCGTGTAACTGAAACCTTCGGATCAGGTGCGGAACTTTGGACCAATACTGCTTCCTTCCAGTCGTTGGCGGTCTGACACCGCAACTCCTGGGTGACCAACCTCCGTGGGTAAAGAAAAGAGACGGATGATGGCTTATCCGAGATGCACGTTTTACCCTCTCGTTCCGGGGACAAGGAACAGGCATGACAGCACACGTCCGCGTGCTGGGGGACGGGACGTGGGATGTCCTTGGTCCTGTCTCTGAAGTTATTCAGAGGGCCGTGTGTGTGTCATTTTATGCCAGGGAGCCGCGTGCCGATCTTCGCCCGATGTCCCAGGGCTTAAAATGCCGATATAATGGGGCGATGGTGATGTGTCCATTGGATAGTTGCTGACGCAGATACCATGCATAGTGACAGTGAAAGCCGGATGTGCGGCTCTTTGAGTTGCTGGCCGTGTTGAGAAGAAACTGGCCGGAGGGCTCGATGTTGTTGCGGTGCTGCAGGTAACTGTCCTTGGACCAATCTAAGCCGACAGCTTGTCGACCGGGACAAGGTTGAATCCAGAACTCGCCGAGCCAAGGGTGGCCATCGGCACCCAGTTTGTTAACTTGTATGTAATAGATGGCATCATGGAGGGACCGGCGAATGCCCGAATCGTCCCTCTGCATTGCTCCGGCAAAGGAAGCATTTGTGTGGGCAAAACGAAGGAAAATTTTTTACACAGGTCCAAGCGCCCAAGAGACCTGGCACCAGGGCCGATTAGGGACCGGGCCCTGACCCCACCGCACTCCATGTTCAGGACAACACGTTGCTTCAGACTCGCATCAACCGTCTTTGCGGGGTGTCTTGAATTACATAGAGTCGAGGAAACGGCTTGAAATCGAAGGTGATACCAGGCGTGAAACCAAACCGTTGGTCCAACCCGAGGCACTTCGAGGGCGACCTGTAGCCGTCGAAATTGTTGCCTTGCAAACATGAATCTGCTGAGAGTTGCACGATCTCTGCCTGCACAAGACAAGAGTTTTGTCATTTACGACGTGCGCATTGGGCGAGAGCCAGCGAGATTTGTCTCTTGCAAGACCCAAGCCTTGGCGGTCTTGGGGGAGTGGACGGTGATCTCTTGGCTGGCCCTGGGTAACGAACGAACGGACGACCTATCCAGCCAGAGACCGGCAACGAGGCCCATGACAGGGCGAATCTCGTCAAGATGCCGGCTGTATCGCTGAGGCTGCCGTTCGCTTCAGAATCAACGGGGAGATCGGCGCGGCTCAGCGGCGGCTGGCAATCTGGACATTTTGCCTCTAATCGACTGCAGTCACAGAGTCCAACTGCAGGCGGGAGCGAGGGTTCAATCACACCTGTGGGCAGCCCTCCTACCATGCCAAGAGGGCCCGTAACAATCGTCGGCTGTGTGGAAGCGGCCTGTCACGGCTGACCTCTCTGGCATCCATGTCCGCCAACGGCAAGATGAGGACATGGTCACTGGCGCGGGATGCCGAGCACCCAATCTCTGTCGAAGAAGAAGGAGTCATTGCAATAGCCCATCCTGGCTCCGTTAGCGGGCGACGTAATGCAGGAGCGAGGACACAACATTTCGAGTTGACTCGGGGTTGGCGTTTTGCTAAGGGGGGTACAAAGGAGATGGTCGATTTTGAGCCGGCGGGCGCGGAACGGGGGGAGGGGGTCAGAAGATGCGCCTCGGTCTCACGAGCCACGGCATTGGCAATCCTGCCACACATGACAAGAAGCCCACCCGGGAGCATTTGTCGAGGACCTGACTGTGGAAGTTATCGGGTGGTCTCTCTCAAGTTTGACGGTGTGGGTGGTTGTTTCGTTTGGTGTGTGTGTGACCTGCAGTTGTGGGAGAGAAGCGCGTCATTCAGACATCGGCGCTAACTAATGTTCCCTGGAGAAACTCCCGTTAGCCAAGAGAAAACCCTTGCGCTTGCGTTCCAAAACCGTACAAGGCTTTGGGGCACCCCCAGATCACCCTGACTTTTCGAGCAGCACATGGATCCATACCAAAGTATTAATGGTAAATACACAGGAGCCGACACTCATCTGAGGTATCATCAGGGTTATACTGTGTAAAATGATGAAGAATCCCAGTTAAATCCAAGATTGTAGGCAGCCATTTTGTCGAGATTGTTCGGGCCTGTTGCCTTTGATTGGGGTTTTTACCCGTGTCTCAAGAAGCGCCGCCGTGGGGATGCTCCTCTGAATGGCAGCGGAGACGGGCAGCACCCCACTCACCAACTGGGGTCTTCCTCAAAAGGAGCCCGTGATGGTGCCGAGCCTTTTGCAAACTGCACGCAGTAACGGCTAGAATTACGGCATGAACTCGGCCACTCAGGTCCGTCTCGGGCAATGGGGAAGTGGGCGGGAGAAACACGGCAGTCTTCGTCTTGTCACAATTTCCATCCATGCCTTCAGATGCAGGTGAAGGGGAACGGAGGCGCCGGGCTTTTCCGATGTTGCCAAAGTCGTCAGGAACTTCATTCAGCCTGCGGATGATGAGTAAGATGGGGGCTGGGAGGCATGACCCAGATATCTTGCGCGACTGCCCCGTGCAGGCAAGACAGCTCAAGCCCGAAGGGCAGACCGAGTGAGGAAGGAGCCCACTCTGGGGGCTTGGAGAGGAAAGTGGGAGAGAACCTGGCTCGAGCTGGAAGCCCGGCGCTCGCTCGGGGCAAGAACCCTTGGGGACTTGCACTGTTTCCCACCGAGCCACCCCTCGACCACCCACCTTTGGCACCCACTCATGCCACTCAACCGATACGGTTTCTTCGTTTCTCTTTTCCTCCAATGGAGCCTCCGCTTTTCACGTTGCCAACCCGCCCCAGGATTGTTGTTGCCCTTGCCCTTGGTCTCCACACCACGCCCACTGCCCACGCCCACGCCCACCAGAAGATCTGCGCCGTGCCGAGCTCCCACTCCGGCGACGCTGGGCCCTTGTCAGCCGGGTCTGTCTGCTTGCTGCTGGACGATCCTATCAAGGAAACCCGCAAACACGCGGACCCGTTATTCGCCTAGAAGGGGCCTGCGACCAACCAGTCTTGCCGTCATTTGCGAGGAACATGGGGGCCGATGTATTCGTACCCTGAATCTCGCTGTTGTCTTGTCAATTCGGCGCGTCGCCAGCCGTAGCCTGTACTGCAGCCATGTACTCCGCCAAGCACCGCCGTGGCATGCCATCCCGATCTGGTTCACGTTTCGTCACTCGCACCGGACCTTGGCTTGCTGGGTCAGGGCAGCCACAAGCCTGTCGTCCATCCACCCTAGCGCCCCGTTTCGCCAGCATCCACATGCGGAATCCCACGACGACCCTGATGGAAAGCTTGCAGTCCCACGCCGGGCCGATACATAATAAGAAGCACACCTCCCTCCGCCTCGCTCCGAGTCTCGCACTCACGGTTCCAGTCAGCCAGCCTCACAACACCCCCCGAGTTTGATCGCTTTTGCCCGACTGCGCATTTCTTTCTTCTAGCACCGTACTCTCTCCTGGCACCGTACTCTCTCACCATAGTCGTGCTGGTCTGTCCTGCACGTCATGCCCGACCAGAGTAGCTCCCGCTAGCCCTCCAACAAACTCCGGAAGGAGCTCACCCGTCGTCGGCTGTTCTGCGGTCGCCTCTGCTGGGTCGCCGCGCCGCCGTGTTGGCAACCCGTGCCGTCAGTGCCGTCAGCTGCCTGACAGCTCCCGTTTCGGTTGTTGGTTGCCTTTGCACGCATCAACGTTCGGCGGAAGCGAATTGCTGACCTAAGGTTCAGCCGGCTCGCAAGGCGAGCTCTTCCGACAACAGGCCCTCCCGTCTCTCCGTCTGATCTGGGATCTCCACACCTTTGCCCTTGCGACCACACTCCGGTCCACCCGTTCGTCGTCGGAAGAATTGCATCGACTTACATCAGGCTTGTTGGCTGCCCCAGCTCCACCGGGCAAGCCGTCAACAACCTCGATAGGCCACCACCCCCCATCTCCACTCAACCCACATTATTTTTATTTCATTTTCCTGGCCAGCTTTTTTGGCTGTTCGAGTTTCTCGACAAACGAAGGTTGTTTTTTGGCTTCGATTCCGGAGTCAGCGGCATCCCGTACCGATGTTTTTGGGCGGGCGGTACCCCCAGCAATGACCCTCTGAGTGGTGCACGTTGTGACCCTCTTTGTCTCGAACCCCCTGTCGTCCGTCGGGCATTCCCGAAGGCTTTGCTTTTTTTCCTTGTCGGCTCTGCAGCTCCGACAAGCCTCCGTCCGACTTTGCGACGACACTGCAGCAACTCGTTCAAGATCGGAAGTTATTCCGGACTCACAAACCGCCGTCGCGTCTTGATAGACTGGCTACGCTCCCAATCCCTCCATCATGCTCATCGACGGAGAAAAGTGGGCTTGCGAGGCCTGTGTGAGAGGCCATCGCGTTAGCAACTGCCAGCATCACGGTGAGTGATTTTTGCTTTCTTTCCCCTGCATGTGGTTCCCGTTTTCGATGTGCTGCAATGCGCTGGCACGTTGGCTGCTTGGCCTGGTCGGCTGCAACCGAGGGGTAGCGGATTTGCCGCAGCAATCGCAGCACACGACAAGCTTCATAGTGGGGGCTGTTGCTGCTGCCCCTGCCGCTTTCCCCTCAATGCCCCCAACTTTTCATGCGGCCTGTCTCCAACTTCATGTCGGTCGCGGGGTAACAATGATGGAAGAGTGAGCTAACCCTCGGGCACAGATCGGCCACTTCAACACATCAACAAGAAGGGACGGCCTGTTTCGCAATGCCAGCACTGCCGCGCAATGCGCAAGTCGCGCGCAGCCCATGTCAAGTGCGACTGCGGTGAGAAGACGCATAAGTGCGTGCACTTGAGACCGGTACTCGATGGTCACAAGGGTGAGCATTGTCGTGTCTGATTGATCAAGGCTCTGCTCCTCTGATTCCTGACCTTCGTTCGCAGAAAGCTGCTGCTGTGGCCATGGCGGTCGCTGTACCTGCTCGCATAAGCGGGAACCTACCCTGGACACGGTACCCGAGTCCGACTCGGACGAGCCCATTCCATCGCAGCCCAAGATCACTAAGGCGAGCTCCCGCCCCAGACGGCGCGCTAACACGACCAACTCGGATGCCTGCCTGTCCTTCGACGCCAACGGTAACCACAAGCCGACGTACAAGCACACCAAGGCTTCGCAGAAATGCGGACCGTATCAGCTGAGCCGCGGTAACTCCGTGACGAGCGCGAGCAGCATGGGCAGCATGAGAAACCGATCAATGGACGATCTTTTTGGGACCAGCGTCAATGGCGATTCCAGCTCTGCGACCGGGAGCACCAGCACGGATGGCATCGCTCAGGCGCAACGCCGTGTCAAGTCGGAAGCTCCCTCGCCCCTCTTAGAAGGTTCCTCTTCTTTTGCCCAGCTCAACGGACAACTCCCGCCCTTGGACCTCTCGGGCATCAAGTACCCCCCGTACATCCCGAACAGCGCCGACTTCTTCGGCGCCCTGTCGGATTATGAACAGCCTATGTTCAGCGCCGGGCTGAGCGCGGCTTCGGTCGATTGGAGCAACTTCGAAGGCCTGGAACTCGCCGCCAAGACGGCCGATTTTGCGCCCTCAAACTACAGCCAACCGCAAAGCTACGGTGGCTTCGATTTTGCCGGGTCGGAGCATATCCCGACGATGACTACGACCACCTCGACGTCAGGCGAAGTTTCCGAAGTCGAGGACTTTTTAGCGAATTCTCTCGATGAGTTCGACACGTATCAGAGTAGCGCTTCCCTCAACGGGTACGGCTTTGGCCACGTCAGTCTGCTTGGAAACACGGACCTCCCGAATTTGGACCTGGATGAATTCCACTACCTAAAGAAGGACGCCAACAAATTCTTGCCGACGCCCGCCACCATGCCCGGCGACGACCCGACACTTCTCACCACCAGCGCGCCCGCGTTCGGCGGCCTCACCTCGCTGGATGACGACCCGAACTACTGGGTGAACGACTACACGGTGCCGCCCCTGACCGAATCCCCCACGGAAAGCAACATGGTATCATTTTGGGAGGGGCAATAACACAAGGTTGTGATACCCGAAGCGACCATCCTAACGGCTTTTGTTCGCACTTCGCGGTTTTCGAATACCCTGCCCCCGATCAGTTCCGGAGCGATGATTCAAACAGCGGATACCCTCGATGCCACGTACATATTCCTCTTGTTCGCCGGAGTCATATGATTCAGTCGCATTTGCTAGCTTACACGGAATGGAGCGAGCACGCAAACGGGGCGGTGATCTGGCCAGGGCAGTTCTCTTCGAGGTGGCGGCGCAGAAGGCAGTTCATTTTTCTTTCTCGGTTTATTTCCTTCCGTCTGGGCATGAAAGTCAAACGACATGATGATCATTTCTCTTGCCTTCATCATCTCTGCATCACATGCATTATATTACGCCCATTTCCATTTCCCGGATTTCCTGTCGCATTTTCAGCCGGAGGCTCGTTTTAGGGTTCACAGAGGAGACAAGAAAAAAAGGAGAGGCACGTTTGTTTCTGGAGATGTTGTTGAGGCTCGGGGATCCCGACGGCCTGCAACTGATGGCCACATGTGTGTGGCTATTTGAGTTACCATACGGCACTACGGTGCACCATTTACGTTTTCGCGGTGGCTTACACATTCCAAGCCCATCGTTTTCCGCTGTTTACGGCTCTCCGTTTCTCGACAACCACGATTTGAATATAGATGCTGGAAGCATGGGGCACAAAGAGCGAGCATAGCATCACAGCATTGCGGGAAAAGAGAGAAGAAGAATAGAACAGACATTTTTTTGTTGGGTTGGCTGGCTGGCTGGCCTGTCCGGAATGGGGATGGTGGTTGATTCCCCTTTTTGGGTTTCCTCCGTGATCAAGGGGTAATGGTATAGCATGTTTGTGGTTGTTGGGCGTTGTGCCGCTCATGCCGATCTGCTTTGACATCCAGTTGTTCGGCGATCCCCCTTTTTTTTCGCTCCTCGCCCGCTTGTCGGGAACCGCCCTGGTCCCTCCTTGCCGTGGAGGTGTTTGTGTCGGCGGGCAAAGCTCGGCATTTTCGGCCTGTTTCGAGCAGCGGCGGTGAGCTGGGCCCGAGTGCCCTAGTCCTGGTCGCCAGGCTGCGAATGGCGGGGCATACCCCCACTTTTGGAGAAACAGACTGTGTAACTCATCAGTTGGAAGTTTCGACGGCTTGTTCTGTCGCTCAGTGGGGTTATCGTTCACCCCACGGGATGGGGTGGATTGGGCGCCCACGCACCGAGGTGAGTAAGTGAGTGAGTGACGCGAGAAGGCTGATGGGTGGGTAGGTGGGTGGGGAAAGAGATTAGGTTTTGGTTGTTCAACACAGGAACAAACACACAGGACACACACAGGACACACAGGTACAGTAACAACAATCAGTAAGTGCAGATTACAGCAAGGCATGGATGGATGTGTCATGGCCGACATGCCCGTCCATACACAGTTAGCACATAGGTACGAAGTACATACAAAGGCTTCCCCAAACCGCCCCTCGGCCCTCGGGTGTGGAGCGCATGAATCCATCGGCTCGAGTCGGGCCCCCTCTCTTAAATAAACTACACACCTATATACATACATACCTACCCCTCTATTGATTGTCTTGGTTGTCTTGCGCGCCGCGTGGCTTGTGCTCTGCTCCCCCGTTGGTGTGTCTTGGTAACGTTAGTGCCGGGCTCGGTCGTCCCCTGCAGGTGGAGAGGTGCTGCGGCGACTGCTGTTGCGGCTGCTGCTGGTCCTGGACTGGGACTGGTGCATGGTGCATGGTGCATGGGCATGCGGCATGGCATCATAGCGTGGGCATGCGGGGTTGTGTGCTGTTGTGCTGTTGTGCTGTTGTGCTGCCCGCCCCGTTTTTTGGGAGGGTGGTTGTGTTGGTTACACAATGGGAGACGAGACGAGACAAGACAGACAGGCACATGGATGGGACGGCTGGCTGGCGGGCAAATCCTGGGGTGGGAGTAAAGTGGTCGGTTGTTGCTGCTGCTGCTGCTGCTGCTGGGAATGCGACTGTGCTGTCATGTGAAGGTCCCCGCCCCTCCCGGGAGAAGGGGTCACACGTGGGGGGAAGGAAGGAAAGGAAAGCCTGCCCGCTTGTCGTGCTGAGACTTGGGTGCTTGGCTCCGTGGCCGGCCGTCCGGGACCAGGCTGCCTACCCTACCAACCTAGCTACACAGGTAGTTAGCCAGCTGGCTGTTTTGAGTTGTTGTGGTGGTAGTTTTGGTTTCTCCTCGGCCCGGCTTCTGCGGTGTGCGCGGCCTGCCTCGGGGAAAAACCGGCGGAATCTTTTTGCTTGATGCTTGGTCGCCTTTGTTTTCATTTGCTGGGGTCATGATTTAAGCTAGCAGAGCGCGGTAACCAAAAACCGGGCTTTTGGGTTGCAGATGTGGGGAGAGGTGAACTGGCTGGCTGACTGGTTGACTGGCTTGTTGGTTGACCGGCTCCCAAACAACAGCCGGCAAGGGACACCCTGAAGAGCAAGCCGTTGAAGAGTTTATTTTTTTCCGCCTTCGACGCCCTCCCTCGGGTAGTTCCACACGCACGGCAAAAGGGGGGAGCGATGTGACATGGTGGCATTAGTCCGTCCTTTGACAAGTCATGCACTGTTGATGCTGCAGCTCGGACGAGGCTCACCGCAAGAGGTGAGCGCAGAAGTTGATCCCCGATCGGACATCAACCCCAAGTGTGAGGCGTCTCTGAAAGGACCGCGAGGGCCGGTCTGTGGATAGGGAATGATCGACTGTTTCTCCAGCTTCTCTTTTGTTTCTAAGGAAGAGCAGAAAAAAGTTGGCTCGGGGCCTCGCTGATGATTGTCAGGGGTTGACGGGAGTTGGGTATCACAGGATGCACGCATGGAAGCGGTGCAACCGATGAATCCAGGTCGCTAGAGGGTCTACAGTTAATGGGCGAGGCGTAATATGCTCCGTTCAGCCTTGTCGAGTCTGTATTGTGGGCGGCAGCCAAATACTACTCTCTAAAGGAATTAGATGGTCATAGGAGCGAAGGAAAGGCAGTGAAGTATGTGACATTAAAGTCATGTAATTGTACAGAACAACTAACGACACCAGCTCAGCCCAACGCCCGCTCCGGGTATAGAACCACAAAACTATATACCAACAATTCGCAAACATTGCCCTCGGTGAATACTGCGCGAATACAGTGCTGCGTAAGACCTACAAAATACGCCTGTCACGGGGTAAGTAAATTGGCCCCTTTTCCAACCACACACGCACGACTGGTCCTCAGAAACTGCGTGATCCTCCCTAAACGCTTCCGATTCCGCGATGTCGAAGTTCCCACATCGCCATCAGAGGGCGGCAGTAAACCAGCATCACAAACTGGCAGTGCCACCAGGCCACCTCCCTAAACAACCTCACCACCATTGACATCGTCATACCAAGTGAGATATCCCTTCCTCAACACCGCGCGCACGTCCACCAGCGCCGGCAGAGGGGCATCCCGGTCCTCCACGCCCTCCGCCTCCGACTTGACGGCCGCCACCGCCGCCGCCGCAACAGAAGCAGCAGCAGCAGCAGCAGCGGCACCATCGCCGCCGGCCGAGGGAGCGCCATTCTCAGCAGAACCGGCACCAGCACCAGAAGCACCGGCCGCCTCTGCAGGCTGCGCGTCCCCAGAGGACATAGCCGCAGTTGGAACTGCAGGCGCGCCCGAGCCCGCAGCAGTGGTAGTGTTGGTGGCGTCGACTGCGGTGGCCAGATCCGCGAGCTGCTGCAAGTTCTGGCCGGTGGTCGCCGTGGCGTTCTGGCCCGCCGGGTTTGGGAGACGCGCCAGGTACCAGGAAAGCTTGTCGCGCACGGCGGCGTTCCACATGGACGGCGCCATGCTGTACTCTAGGACCTCCTTGGTGATGCGGACGGCTTCGTCGCGCGTCACGGGGAAGCGGTGCAGCTCGATGAGGCCGAGCGCGGCGACGGCGGCAAAGTGGTGGGTGACGGGGCTGTACAAGTCGTGTTTGGCGGCGAGGAGGCCGGCCAAACACCTGGTAGCCTGGAGAATGTTGAGGGGGCGCTGCGCCCGGTCCGGAGAGAGCAGTTCCGACACGGCGCGGAGGTGCCAGTACGCTAGGTCGAGCACAGCGTGGTTCTCCTTGGCCGTGAGAACCCAGCTTAGCATTTGGGTGGGCCCGGTGGCCATTAAAGCGAGGGCCTGAGACTCTGAAGGATCAATCGGCGGGTTGACAATGACGGGCATGATAAGCGTGAAGACGTAGGAAGTCCCTGTTAAGTTTGTTAGGAGGTGAAACCGGAAACGGATGAAGGTAAGACTCACGAATCAAGGAATAAACACCATCCCCGACGATATGCTCCAAGCCTGCCCGAGGCACGACAAAGTCACTGACGATCAGGGTGGGCTTGGCCATCCCGAGTGCGTGCCACCTGTCCAACATAACTAAAACCCACCACGCTCGCAAGGCAACGTTGTCGTCTGAGTTGGTATCCAATTCGTGATTCGGATTAGGGTCGACTGTCCGAGAATGAGCCGTCATCGAATACGCAACTGAGACAGCTCGGCCGAGGATGTCGAGCTTGGTCGGGCCCATCAAGCCCTTGGAAGCCGCGATACTAAAGCAGTCTACCGAAATCATGGTCATAATCAAGGTCTGGAGCTGCACCAGATTGGTGACGGAAGAGCGCGGTTTCCACTCGGCCTCCCATTCGTTCAAAAGGCGCCATGCGGTAGCAGGATTGCCGTCGATTTGGCCACCGGAATCGGGAGAGAAGTGCTTCATCATGGAAAAAAATCCGTTGTAGAAGGCATTCTGGAGGCTTAGAGGAGCCCGCCATAAGAGGGACTGCACCAAGGCCTTGCTGCTTGCCAACACAGGGAAAATGGGGTGGATGCACTCCAGATAGCTGAGACTCACTAGTCAGTATGGAATCCGCGCGGCAAGACTCTGGGCTGATACACTTACCGATTGAAAACGACGTCGTCGATTTCCGGCAGTTGGTCCGCTTGATGCGATGACGCTTGAGGGAGGCCGTCCTGTGCCATGGTGTCCATCATGTCGGGCTGGCCTTGCAAATCCATATCATTCGTCGAAGCGGGGTATGTCAATGGCGCGGTAGGTTTCAAGGCGAGGTCGGTCGAATTTCCGGACACTTGCGGGCGGAATTCGGGTTGGACGTAGGGCAAAATCGACCTGTGCTCGGAGTTGAAGGCCGCCGATAATCTGTTCTGAGGCGGGGTTTGGAACCCTTCGCCAGAAACAGAAATACTAGAAAACGGCCGCTTCCTGCTGTCGTCGACTAAGCCTGGGGAAACAAACGACTCGCTTGACGGTCTCCTCTCGGCGCTTTCCACGTTGGTGCTGAGCCTGCCTTCAATGGTATTGATGCGATCGGCAAGTTCTTTGATGTATCTAAAGCGGGTAAGTACGAATGGCCTCTTGTGCATCCGGAATTATCCAACTCACCCTTTGCTTGGTCCCCGCTTCTGAGGCACACGACTGAACAGGCACTGTGCATTCGACCGTCGACAGTTGGAACAAGGCGCCTCATTGGCTTCCGACTGCGCATCGCACTTGATCTTCTTGCGCCTACACTCATCACAGGCCCGGGACACTTTGGACCGTTTCCTGGGCGGCGTAGCATCAGGCATCTGGTACTGGGGATGTACCTGTGACAAGTGGTCCATCGACATGTGATGAGGGAGCTGGGGCGGAGGCGGTGGGTTCTGTGCATAGTGATGTTGTTGAGGCTGGCCAGGGTGTGACAGAACATCTTGGAGCTCATGGCTCTGGAGTTCATGGTTGTGGTTTTGAAGCTCATGGCTGTGGTTTTGGAGTTCATGGCCATGACCTTGGAGCTCATGTCCATGAGACTGCATCTCACGCTCATGGTTCTGCAACGATGCCTCCAACTGCTCCTGGAGATTTGGCTCAGCCTGATGTTGTTGTACTTGGCCTTCCTGGTTATCTTGCGGCTGAATTGACTGCTGGTCCTGTGCTTGGTCTTGGACGGCAGCAGCCATCATGGGGGCAAGACCCTGTGATAACTGAGCCGCGAGCTGGAGCTCATCTGCGCTCACTGGCGGAAGGGGGTTCTGTTGCTGTGGAGCCGGTGACTCCTGGAGGCCCTGGAGTTGATGTAGCTCGTGATGCTCATGGTGCTCGTGATGTTCATGCTGCTCCTGGTGCTCCTGCATACCATGATGCTCTGATTGAGTGGGCTGATGGTCCATTTGGGGGTCAAGCTCACGATGTTGGGTGAGCTGCTCATAGTATCGTGCTTCTGCACTGTCGGCCATGGGGGAGGGGTAACTCTGCTGCATCACGGCGTCCTCGGTCTCTTCCGGCGTAGCTTTCTTATTATCGTCCATAGCGAATTTAGAAAAACGATACAAGACAGGTCGAGGGTGGGCAAATGCGCGATTACCCAACACTTGTGGGTTTTCTTGGACAACAAGCTGTGAAGTCTGTTTCTGTCGACAAGCAGTCTACACAATGCCGAAATGAATGTGTAGCTGGTCAGTCACACGACTGCACTGGAGCATAATTAGTATGGACAGTAAATGAAAAAAAAGGGCCTCGACTTGATCCACTGCTCAATTGATGATTTTGTTGCTAGTTATCGAGTGCAGGTGCAGATACAGAAAAAAAAAAAACATGATTTCGATAGATGACAAAATGGCGATTCAACAGAATGCCAAAACAACACCATCTTCAATGTGTTTCTGACGAGACCACACCCATTGCAAGCAAAGTGCAATGCATCGCGGTAGTCACACACAAGTAAAGCGATTGGGAAAATCGGTATGGCCTGAAACGTACCTTGGTTCGGCCCAGGAAACTATTCCCAGTCGGATCTGGATCCTAGGATTATTGTCGCTGCGGAAGAACTGACAGCTCCGATCGAGAGGGAACGGAACTGGAAGGAGTTTTCACCGTGGTTGGCAAAGCGGAAAATTCTTGCGGGTTCACGGATAAAGCTTGCATGGGGCTTGATTAAGTTTGAGGCACGTTGTTGTGGCTGGTTGACTCCTTCACCGTGTGTAGATAGTTTGTACACGGTGTTGCGCACGGCTTCATTCTTGATCCTTCTTGTTCATCAGATTCACAGGCCCTGATCACGGTAATAGTGCTGGTTATCATGGTTTTAGGAATATTTAACGGTAAATTTCAACATTGTCTCCCATTGTTTAACAAGGCCATGGCAACACCAGATATCAGGGGCAGAGCAAGAAGGGTTATCATGACATGGCTCATCTTCCCTTGTGGTCAAGTAACTCTCACAGTGGTTTCACAACCAACCCACAACCAGAAGTTTTTTAGTCTGTTGGATCATGTTACTTAAAAACCCCTTTTAACCTCAGTAGACCATCGAACAACAGAATAATTGACCCCTTCACTCCCAAAGCTACAAAAACAAGAAATAGCCAAAGGGTATATAAGAGCGGCGACTAAGCGAACCACGTTCCATTAAAAAAGTTTGTTGCTGCCCATGACACGGGAGAACCGGTTTCTGGCAAAGTGTGAAATGGCGAAAGGGTGAAGACGAGAGAGATGGAGAGAGAGAAAGAGACAAGAGACACCTTCCCCTAGCTCCTTGTTCCCACAAAAACTCAACAACACATCCGTCCCCCCTGGGCGAATAATACAACCACCCCGCCGCCTCAGCGCCTGGATGCCACACCCACTCAACCGTCGTTCTTGAGGTCGGTAATCGACTTCAGCATCTCATGGTGCTGGCTGCCCAACTGGGCGTCGTAGTCCTGAACAGCTGGCTGACTGACTTTTGGATCTTAGCTAGCTAAAAACACGACCGATAGGTTAGTGGCCGCCGGCTTCAAGACAAACAGAAGAGGGTGTTATAGGAAGGCTGCGTGATAATGCGAGAGTGGTCCCCACCGAAGCTAATGCTGACCGAAGAGTGATCCGGCTCTGCCTCATCCTTCAGTGGGCTGGTTGGTAGCGCCGCCGTCTGTTGTCGTCCGCGTTGGCGAAACGGCTCGCGGCAAGGCCCTTGGGCGTGTCTGATGTGGTCTGGGCAGATATGGTTAGCCATATCGGCCTTCTTTTTATAGAACTGCGAATTCAGAGACATACCTTAGCTTCGGCTAGCTCTGCGTTCTTAACCTTGAGCTGGGCCGTGAGCTCGGCAATCTTCTTATCGGCATCGCCGACTTGCTGCTTCCGCATCCGCCAGCTTCTTGATGTTGACAGCCGCCAGAGTCTGCGCCTCCTCGACAAGCTGCGTCATGCTGTCGTGCATATCCTTGTAGTCGGCCGCAGCCGTTGTCGTGATCTTCTCGACCTCGGCTTTGGCCTTGGCCAGCTCCTCCTGGACGCTTGCGAGCTCCGATGCAGCAGCCTTCTCGTGGCTGGCCTTGAGTTCGGCAACTTCCTTATCGTGGGCCTCGGTCAGGGCAGCAATCTGCGCCTTGAGGGCGTCAAGCTCGGTGGTGTCAGGCTTGGCGTTCCTCGCGGCATCGAGGTCAGCCTGGGCCGTAAACTTCTCCATCTTCTCTAGAGCCAGTTGCTGGCTGAGCGTGTCGATCTCCTCCTGGGCCTTAGCATGCTCGGCCTTGAGTGCCTCGAGGGCTGCGTCAATCTCACTCTTGGCCGCTGTGACCTTAGCCAGCTCCTCCGAGGTCGACTGAGACTTGCTCGTCAATTCCTCGAGAAGACTGTTGTGGCTGGCCCGCAGTTCGTCAAGCTGAGCTTGGGACTGCGCGGCACCCTCGTTTCTCAAGGCCTCCTGAGCCCCGTTGTGCACCGCGATCAGCTTCTCCACCTCGGCCGCATGGTCATCCTCGAGAGTCTTCTTGAGCGACTCAATGGCGGATGCATGGCCGGCCTCCGCATCGCTAAGCTTAGCTTGGGCAGCCTCAACGTCCTGTTGGAGGGCCTTAGCCGTCTCAAGTTCCGCCATCAATTTCGCGATCTCGTCGGCATGCTTAGCCTCAAATTCTTCCTTGAAGCCACCGGCCGCTTCGAGCTGAGCCACCAACTTGGCGACCTCCTCCACATGTTTCGACTCCAAGTCGCCCTTGAGACCACTGGCCGCCTCCAGTTGAGCCATCAGCTTCTCCACTTCTTCGGAGTGCTTAGCTTCCAGCGCCTCCTTGACCTCGCTTGCCGACCCAAGCTCTGCTGTTAACTTCGCAACCTCCTCTGCGTGCTTGGCCTCGAGCTCCTCTTTCAGGTCGCTAGCCGCCTCGAGCTGTGCTGTTACCTTGGCGAGGTCCTCGGCATGCTTAGCCTCAAGTTCCTGCTTGATTTGCTCCAGGAGGGCTGCGTGGCTGTCATCGCCAGCCGCCTTAGCAGCAGCGAGCTCATCGGCGTGCTTGGCCAGAATTTGCTCCTTCTCTGTCGCGGCGTCGTTGTTGAGGTTCGCGAGGATTTCGGCGTGGGAGGTCTTCAGAGCCTCAAGCTCCTTAGCCAGACTGCTCTCGCTTTCGCCCCTCAAGATGTCAATTTGGCTGGCATGGCTGGCTTTCAGAGACTCGATTTCTTCGGCGCTAGCTTCATGGGCTTGCCTTGCCAGGCTCTTGGCACCCTCCAGCTCCTCGGCATGGCTCGCCTGAAGGGCATCCAGGGCCTGCTGATGCTCAGCCTCCTTGGCTTCCAGCGCCTTCACGGCGGCCTCGTGCTCAGCCTTGGCCGCCTCGAGGGCCTTAGTATGGCTCTCGGCAGCTTCATCGTGCGCTTTAGTGAGCTCTCCGTGCTTAACCTCGAGCTCCTCGAACCTGCGCTTGAAGAAAGCATCCCCACGCAGGCTCTCGATCTCGTTCTCATAATCTTGGCTGACTTGCTGGAGTTGTTTCTGGTGGTGGTCGGCAGCGGCAGCGGTCTCCTCCTTGATCTTAGCGATTGTGGCATCCTTCGACTTGCTTTCTTCGGTCAGACTATCAATGAGCTTCTGGAGCTCAGCGTGGGAGCCGGTAGCCTTGGAAGCCTCGTCTTTGATAGCCGCCAGCTCAGCTTCCACCTCGACAACCTTGGCTTCCAGAGAGGCCAGGGCTGCTGTCTTCTCCTCGAGTTCAGACTTGGCAGCCTCCGCCGTCTTCTCCGCCGCCTCAAGCTTTGCATTGAGTTCGGCAATCTGTGCTTCCAGTTCGCCAAGCTTTGCTGACCCGGCCGCTGTTTCACTGGCGAGCTTCTCCTCGTGGGTAGCTTCTAGGGTTGCTTGACTCGAGGTCAGGTCGTCAATCTTCTTTTGGAGTTCGGCAAGGGCAGTTTCGTGGCTCGCATTGAGCTCCTGGATGGCCTTCTCGTGGTTGGCAACAATGGTGGCACTTCCACCCTGCAGTTCCTCGGCATGCTTGGCCTTTAGTGCTTCAATGGCCGCCTCGTGCTCCTCTGTTAAGCTGCTCTGGAGAGCCTCAAGCTTGGCAGTGTATTCGTCGGTTGCCTTAGTAAGGCTGGTCGCGGCCTCGTTCGATTTGGCCTCCTGTTCTGCCTGGAGGCTCTCGAGCGATGTTTTGAGCCCAGCTAGTTCGGCCTCAGCGGCTTCCTTGGCACTAGTAGCGCCGGCAAGTTCGCTCTTCTGAGCAGCCAGGTCGGTTTCGGCGGCGGCCAGCTTCTCCTGGGTCTCGGCAACCTGCTTGTTCAGAGCTTCGAGTTCCGCAGCATGCTCCGTCTTCAGGCCTTCCAGGGCTTCCTGGTTGATGGTACCTTCAGTAGCAGGCTGGGCCCCTTCAGCGGTACCAGCTTTCTCAGTGAGCTCCGTGATCTTATCCTGGGATGACGCAATTTTTGCCTTGAGTTCGGTGATCTCGAACTCGCTGGAAGTGAGCTTGGCTTTGAGCTCCTCAATTTCCCTCGCGGATCCGGCAGCGGTAGTAACGCTGGATGTACTCGATGCCAACGAAGCGCGTGGCGCATGACGAGTAGTGCCGGGCGCTGCCCCCGCAGAAACCGAGAGCCTCTTCTTCGCCTCCGCTACGGCACCAGTACCGGCGGGTTTAGTAGCGGTACGGGTCGCAGAGGGTGCCGACGAAGTGGTTGTCGATGATCGGGAAGTGGCTGTGGACATCCGGGACGGCGCAGTGCCGGAAGTGGCCGCGGGTTTTCTTGCTGCGGCGGTGGCGGCGGCGGCGGTAGTACCGGGTCTCGGCTTGCTGGGGGAGCTCGGAGCGCCACTGGGGGCAGTGGAGATACGGCGCGCCGATCCAGTAGCGCCCGAGACCACCGGCCGTTTCTTCTCATCCTCGGAAACGGACGGGCGGGAGCGGTGAGAGACAGTAGATGCAGCAGTCGATGGGCGCTTGACGGTGGGTGCTCCAGTGGCAGGACGGGTGGTAGGCTTCGCCCCGGTGCTGGCAGCGCTGGTCCGTGTCGTCGAGCTTGTGGTTAAGCTAGTCGTCGACTTCGCGGAAGCTATACCAGTCGCAGCGGGTCGACGAGTGCCCGTACCGGGTGCCGTGGTGCGCTTCGAAGCTGTGGGGCCGGCCGTAGCCTTCTTCTCCACAGTGGCATTGGGCGAGGTGGGCGTCGAGGGAGCTGTGGTTTCGGAAGCAGGCGCAGGAGCAGGCGCGGATTTGGCAGCATCCGTATGCTGGACAACCTCGAAACCCTCGGCGTCGGACATGATGGGCTTCGTGGGGAAAGCTGTGGGAACAATTGGGGGCAACTGGACAATCGAACGACGATGGACTCCTGGCTATGTGGGTAATCAGTTAGCAACCTGGCGGTGGAGTGCTGTGAACCATTGGCAACACAATAAATAAAGCTCGACGATTAGGCTTTATGGTCCCTTTTTGCAGGATGTCTGGCTACAGGAGAGGACCTGGTAGCTTGGGGGATGGAGTTGTCAAGGGGGAAAGTTGCAGCTCACCGAACAAGTTATCCCCTGTCCTCTCGAGTCACTCCTATTCCCAGACCGCAGCGCTGGAATCCAAAGCCGTCGACTTGCCGAGAACGCACTGCAAGACGCCTGGACCGGGCTGGCGCTAACTCAATCGAAAACCGTGAAAAAGGAAACGAAAGCAGGTGTTGCAGGAGAAATTGAATCGCAACAATGCACACCAAAGAGCGGTTTTTTTTTCCAATGGCGCCCGGCGGTGATGGCAAGGCAAGGAGAGAGAGGTTCAGCCCAATTGCCTCGAAGAGAAGAGAGGTGAAAAAAAGAGGAGCCCAGCCCGCTTTCTCATGTACTGCGAGTTCCCAGATCGGCACAGCGCCGGCTTAGCGTGGTGGACTGAACAGGGGACAGATTGGGTGGGGCACACACTGCAGCAAACACCTGGCGGGGACAGAACCTCTTGCAGGGGTGGAGCCAGTTCTCAGTTCCAGGCTCGGATTTGCTAGCCTCTGCCAGCTTCCCTTTTTGGTGCTCGTTGGTGGTCTTGTTTCCTTCTTCATCCTCTTTTCATCCAGTCAAAGTCACTACCTTGTCGCCTCACACACCGAGCTTAGCATTACTGGGGCGGTTGATATCGATTCGCCAGGGTTGTTCGATAGCGGTCACACTTGAATGCCCTAAGGACACTTTGCTTTTGCTATTCGCTAGCGCTGCTGTCAGATGTTTAAATGCTGCACATGGGTGGGTGCCCGGGCCGTTGAGTGCACTGTGATTTGAGGTTGCAGTGCGTGAGGGGCAAAGGGCAAAGGGTGGTGGCAGGCAGCTCTTCCATCACAAAATCACAATGCGAATCCCGAGTCCAAGGTTGAAACCCGTGGATTCAACGGCTCATTTAACAGGCTGGGACTATTGACCTGGGGTGATTCGCTCTCAAACCGGATATCGGTTTAACCTGAGAGGATTAACCTGGATGAGTCGGGAAAATGGAAACAGTGGAGGGTTGACCCATTGACATGCCCGGGTTATGATCCCAGACAGTCCATTGTACCGTCGAACTTGAGACGGCCCGAATCATGCCGTGTATCTGGAGATGCTTCAATTCCGAGTTTCAAAAGCCCAGAAAGTAAGCCCCCCCGCGAGCTTTCTCTTTCGACCTCAGAGGGCCTGGGCTAAAAAAGTGGCTCCCGTAGACGGGTCAAGAGTCGATGTGCCGCTCATATTAGCTGCAAGGCTGATGATGTCTCTGCATCAAAGCAGGCAAGGCTGAGACACGACAGATTAGTGCATGAGGGAAACTAGTAATCCATAGCTTATTATATCAGCAACACAACGGATAATAACTAACTAGGTACCTAAACGCTGCGCTTGCTATTCGTGCAAAGTTGTCGTTCGAAAAGCAAGGGTATCTCTGTAGCAACGGCAAAACAAATCAAAACTCCAACAAACGCGGCCTCCAATAGAGACCATTTCCATACAATCCACCGGAATGGGTCAGCGTTGTCGGGTAGGAGACCGATAACGGCCCGTCCTCTCCAACCGCCTCTTTTCTCCCAGAATCTCCTGCGGCGACCGTTCAAGGGTTTCCGCCCACACCTCCAAGCAATCACGTTGTCTTTCTGGCCTCCTGAGCTCACTCAGTAACCACTCCGTCTCATCCTCGGGCCAGGGCGGATAACCTAGCTCCGGGGAAGGCGGGGTGGGCTGAAATTGTGGTGCCCTCTGGCCGCCACCCGGCGGAAGTCGTGGCACCGAGGAGCCGACAGACTGGGATCGAGGCCCCAGATGGCTCAGTGTCCAAGTACTCGGATTCGAAGGCTGAGGGTGAGGTTGGCTGACCTGAGCAGGTTGCCAGTGCGATGTCGCCCTGCGGAATCTCTCAGCTAGCGGACGAATCTGGCTCGTGACTTTCTGTAACGATAACCGGAATTTTTCCTCCTCGAGCCTAGCGAGCGCCAGTTCTGCTTCTTCCTCTCTCTGGTTTTGTTCCTTGATTCTTCTGTCCTCCTCTTTCATCCTTCTGATGCGCTGCTCCTCTTCGTACCGCTCCCGGTTGGCGTCGGCTCGTGCATTGAAGTTGTCTACCTGATGCCGAATCTGTTGTATAAACTTTCTGACCATAACCGCAAGCTTCTCGTGGTTATGTTTCGGGTCTTCAAAATCGTACTGTTGGCCGGCGTGTTCTGAGTTGCCGTTGGACGGAGGGTTCAGGCATTTCTGGAGACGGGACAACCACCCCAGTGTGCCGAGGAGGTACTGTACAGTAGTCCACGTAAAGATACCCTCCTTCGGAAGGGAGTCGTTGACCACGGCGTCGGGTTGTCGAACTCCGACGGCAAAAGATGTCTGCATGACCAGGACGAGCATTGGTATGACGCATTTCGAAAGGTCGTTGATTATGCGTTTAGGAAGCCTGGTGTTGCTTAGACGCTCGATTTTTCGTACTGCCTTGTCGACATTTGATATGGCAGCGTTCAAGACCAGCTGGTGCTCTACCAGATATTGATATTGCTCGTCGAGGTCCAGGGCATTTGGCACCTCGTCCAATTCATCCTTGAGACAGCTGAGGGATTTGAAAATGTACTTCCCGAGTCTCGTGCGAATAGGCGGGTACACCCCAAACGCGGGCATGTTGGCGTAGAGCTCGGCCATCCATCTGCTCCCTGCCCCTGTCCAACCCCTTCTCCCCATGAGTTTCGATATGCTTCGCAGGTGGTCACTGTATACGGAAACGGTGTCGTCGTTGTTCGTGCAGGGTCGCACCTGGATGTTACCCATTTTCCGTTGCTCCGCTTCTTCATCGGACTCGGATTCGTCTGTTTCATCCTCGTCCACCGTCTCGTCCGTTTCGTCCGTCTCTTCCGTCTCTTCCCTTTCCCGGGGCCTCTCTGGTTCCTTCTCAGTGATTTGATTTACTTGTCGCCCATTCCCATATTGCCCCAGTTCACAGTTTCCCTCGTCCATTAACCTTGGGGCGTTGCCCGGAAGCGTAACCTGGCGCGGCTCAGGGCGGCGAAGAGCTCGAGCTACCGGCTCGGATTGTTCCTCCCGAATCAATGAAACCTGGTCATTTCGTTGTGCTGACTGTGGCTGGCGCGCTTGACTTCTGTTTGGTTTGTCTCCGTTCGAAATTTCCACATTATTTCTCGCTCTTGTGCCGCGAACAGCAACAAAATTGGGGGGCTCGGCATCGTCATCTTCTGGGACTTCATAAACGTCGAATACAGGTCTTGTCGACCGGACTCTCACTGCGGAGGATTGCAATTCCGGACTACCTCCCGAACGTGGAGTTTCTGCGGCAGTAGAAACCTCCTCTGCTGCAGCCCCGGCAACATGGTTGCCATGTCTGGCTGGCCTCCGGTCGCTGTCCGACTCGGGTCTTTCCTCGAGAATATGTGAGACGGCAGGATCTTGTCTACTTTCCCGCGGACTCTGGAGGACCCGAACGCGTTGAGAATTTCACACGGAGTTAATCCCCCGCTTTAGGCGTCTTGCGCGGAGGCGGCGGCCGGGCACACCGGTGGTCGAAGGCTCACGTACAACCTCTGTTGAATTGGCGCCGCGGCTTTCCCTTAACCCTCGGCTACTAGGGAGGTGTATTTCAAGCTGGTGCGCAGAACGCGCGCTCGTGGCGTTGATTGCCGCATCAACATTGTCGTCCTCCCCTAGCGCTACCTCGATCGTATCCGCAGCGTCGGATGATACCCTTCGGCGCTTTTGCTGTGGTGCATTGGGCGTACCGTTAGGTACTCGATTTCTCTTGGATAAATTGGCGTTGCTTGGGGCGGCCTCCCTCAAGGGCCTCAGAGTTGCGGGAGTTCTAGATGCAGGCTGCCGACGTTGGACTGGTGGGGTTCGTGCTGGGATGGACGCGTTGTCAGAGCTACTGTCGTTGTCGTCCTCCCTCGGTGCGGAGATACGGGCGCCGCGCCGAGTGGTGACCACCATGGCGAATGGTGGTTTCGAGATTGGGTTTGATATCGACCACGACCGAAATAGGTACCCAGTTGCCGTCTTGATGAACCGGCGAGGCACGGACGGTCTGTTTGGAAGGTTTTTGTTGGCCTGGAGATCATCAATTTGGTCCCCCTCGCTGTTTCCCTGGACCCACGTGCCCCGCAGCACCCACACTGCACCCTTGCGCGCTGAAGTCCAATACGAAAGAGACCTCACGACGGTAGATGGACGCGTTCAAAAACGAATCATTGCGCCGTAAGGAAGTGTTGGGAAGAATTGCAAGTCAACAGAGGGGAGGGTTAATTCCAACCATTATATGGTCAACCTCGGTATTGACAAAAATGATAATACGACTGCTTGTAGAAGAATTGGTTGGAACGAAGTTGCCCAGTTTGGGGGTCTCGGCGTCATCTTTGTGTTCTTGGTCCATTTCTTTGACCCACTCCTCCCAACTGCCCTGCCTACCCTGATATGCAGAACAAACCGACGTGCCTGGGCACCAGACCCACGCACCTAGCGAGTTCCCAAGATCTCGATTCTCCGCTGAAATTGCCCCCGGCGCCGAGCTTCCATTCTACATCGAACATCGATCTCCGGGACTTGGTTTCCACGCGCCTCATCACGATGTACTGACGGAGTGCAAAGCCGAATCCAACTCCGCGAATTGACGAACCTTTTCGGCTCGAGCTCGCGTGCGCCCCCAGCCGTCGCTTGCGGCTATGGCAACAATGAAAACGAATTCGATTCCGCCCGCGCGCAGGATACATACACAGCCTAATGGCTTTTCCGCCGTGCGATCTGCCGCCGTCGGGCTTGCCCGCGTGTTCTCGATGACCTTATCGACTGCCTACGCCGCACCACTCGGCATCCAGGGCCACGGTGGAGGCGGGGACGAGCCCGAGGCCGAAGGTGCCAGCCTCTGGGTTCTTTATGCGGCCTCTCTGGTCCTGGTACTTTCGGGTGGCGCTTTTGCAGGGCTGACCATCGCGTAAGATGATATCGATTGTGACTGAAGTATGGCCACCGACTGACATTACCTAGACTGATGGGTCAAGACGGAATCTACCTCCAGGTTATGGCAGGGGACCCAAGCGAGCCGCAACAGAAGAACGCAAGACGCGTTTATGAGTTACTTAAGAAAGGGAAGCATTGGGTTTTAGTTACTCTGCTCTTGGCCAATGTCATCGTGAACGAGACCCTTCCCGTCGTTCTCGACCGTTGTCTTGGCGGTGGTGTTGCTGCCGTGGTCGGTGCTACCTTTTTGATTGGTATGTGTTCGCCTCTCTCGTTTCTCTCTCCGCCTCCATCTGACACATTCACGACCAGTCATCTTTGGTGAAGTCCTTCCCCAGTCCGTCTGCGTTCGATATGGCCTCCAAATAGGTGGTTACATGTCAAAACCGGTCCTCGCCATGATGTACTTGATGGCACCCTTTGCCTGGCCTACAGCGAAGCTACTCGACTGGCTTCTGGGAGAAGACCACGGCACGGTTTACAAGAAGAGCGGGTTAAAGACCCTCGTGACTCTTCACAAGAGCCTCGGCGACGTCTCCCAGCGCTTGAACCAAGACGAAGTTACCATCATCAGCGCGGTTCTGGACTTGAAGGAAAAACCGGTCGCGAATGTGATGACGCCAATGAGCGACGTTTTCGTCATGGCGGAGGATACTGTGCTGGATGAACCGACAATGGACATGATCCTATCCGCTGGATACTCGCGCATTCCCATCCACGAGACTGGAAACCCCACAAACTTCGTCGGCATGCTGCTTGTCAAGATTCTCATCACCTACGATCCCGAGGACTGTCAACTTGTTCGCGACTTCCCGTTGGCCACACTTCCCGAGACGCGTCCGGAAACAAGCTGCTTGGGATATTGTCAACTTTTTTCAGGAAGGCAAATCACACATGGTGCTTGTCTCCACGTATCCGGGGGAGGACCACGGTGCTCTTGGTGTCGTGACGTTGGAAGATGTGATTGAAGAACTAATCGGAGAGTATGTCCAGACTTTGGTTTCCCATCACAAAGCAAGAATGCTGACTGGAAACAGGGAAATTATCGACGAGTCGGATGTCTACATTGATGTGCACAAAGCCATCCGCCGTCTTACCCCGGCACCAAAAGCGAGAGTCCAGCGGCGGCTATCGGAAGATCCAGGCGCGAAATACGTTGATACTGCCAACATGAAAAGCAACAGCGAGAGTGCGATTCTCGACGGCAACAAGTCAAACCAAGCGGTCGGCGCAACGAGTCACGAGTCACCTATGCTGTCCACCAGTCCGAAGACAGCAACGTTGATGATGCGGAGGAGTTCTGCTGGATTGGATGGCCAGTTCCTCAAGACTACCGTTCCCGTGCGGGCAAATTTCGAGGATATCAAGCAGCACCTCAAGCATCTCGGCCCCTCTAACCCGGCAACAAACCCCAACAAGACGCGTTCAACCACTGTGAAGATCAAGCCGGGCAGCGGTGCCCCGTCGGCTCAGCCGCGGTCCGCCTCAGCGACCCAGCCTGGAAGCGATGAGACGCCAACGGAGGAAGGGGACGAGACAACGAGTCTCCTCAAGCCCCAGATTTCCGGCAAGGACGGTGTCCAGGCGCTGCGGCAAACGTACGGCTCGGTTAGCCCTGCAATAACGGTGCAACTCGCACCGCAGTCAAACGGCATACCTGAGTTGATACTGGATGCGGAGGAGCAAGTTGACAAGTCAACGCAAACCCCCGCTCAGCCCGACCTCATAGACCTGGATCCAGAAGAAACCGCCGCAGGTTCCGTACAATCCCAGCAACAACAGCAGCGGGAACCGTCCCCATCGCAGCCCAAGCGGCAACCGCGCCCCAGCTCAAGCGGCGAGAGCGCCAACAGCGCCAACAGTGCCGAGGATAAGAAAACGGATACCAACACCCTCGTCTTGCAGCGGCCGTACGTCCGAAGCGGCAGCATCACAGAGAACGTCATCGAATCCCGCGGCGTGCGCAAGGTGGTGCTAGAAACCACCAGCTCCAACGATGAGGAGGAATCGGCCGTTGCGGCGGGCTCGTTGCCCGACCAGCCAAGACTGCTAGGTCGTACCCCGTTCGGGCTCTTCGGAAGGGATCGTGACAACGGCAAGGATAAGGAGGGCGGGGATGGGAAAGAGGATGGGAGGAGCCAGCCGAGCCCGGTTGTTGAGGAGGAGGACGGCGAGGACGTCCTGTCGCCGGGGCCGGAGGATGACGACGAGCCCGGGTCGTATGCCGAGGCTGCTGCTAAGGGGACTCCTCAGGACGGTCAAGCGGGACCGTCGAGTGGTGCAGGGAAAAAGAAGAACAGGAGGAAAAAGCGGAAGGGCGGTAAACCGTAGGTGGCGGAGCTGCTTGACTACGCTTATGGTGTTGGTTCAAATTCGGGGTGGCATACGGTGCGCATGTAGCATTCATTCAGTGTATTTGTGAAAGGGGTTCGAGTATGGAAAGACTGGGACAGGGATGGAAGGAGGGTCTGGAGCCAGCGGTCGGTTGTTGCTGTCTTCTTTTCTTTTCTTGTAGGTTATTGTGTATCAAATGCTATGGTATTGTTGGTTGTTTTATCCATTTTCTGACCTGGCCATCTTTCCATATTCACCTGAATTGTAAGTACCTTCGCCATTTTTCAACACCAACTGCTTTCGAGCTTCCCTTGATTGAGCTCCCAACCGGACCGCCATTGACGTCAGTAGGAGGTGGGGTATGCGAACTTTCCTGGTCCAAGCTCCAAGCTACCCCGCTGTGAAATTTACGTACCGGTACATGGCATCCGCCTCCAGGTCGTCGCTGAAGGGAAGCTCTTCGACATGTGTACAGTTCATGTTCTGGGAAAACTGTGAAGCTTGGGTATGTTGTAGTCCACTGGGGCATAGCAATTGAGTGCATTTTGCTTGTCGGAGATGATTGGGATTCTGTTTGTTTGCGGTTTTCTCTTTTCACAGCAAAGCGCAACCGCGGTATATGGACGTAATTCCAATACGCCCTTGTGTAACATTATTGAATCACTGCCATGATATGCTTTCCCGAAGAGCTTCAATTCCCCCACTTCGACTCGGGCAGTTTCCTAATTTTCGATTACCAAGCGTCATATGAGTTTCTCACTCCGCGCACCTCAGAGATTGAAGTCTCTGCTTCTTTCCTCCCAAAAACGACCTTACTTCAATCCCAGACCAGGTAAACCCGAAGTGTAGAAGACCTTTGAGAGATCAGATGAAACTAACAGGCCGCTAGACTCAAAATTCATCTTCCGAACTTTGCAACTATGGCGTCAACAACGGAGACCAAGAACTACAAGTTCAACCACACCATGTGAGTTTTCACTTATTCTTCTTTTCGTTTAGAATTTTACTTGATCTAAACGGTGGCCGGTACTAAATAACTATTAGGCTCCGGGTCAAGGACCCCAAGGAGTCGGGTGCGTTGCCCCTTTCCCTTCTTTCCCACATCAAATACACCAGACTCACCTCCCCCAAGTCAAGTTCTACTCCTTCCTGGGTATGTCCCAGGTCAAGAAGCTCGAGTTCCCAGAAGCCAAGTTCGACCTGTATTTCCTGGGCTACGACTCGCCCAAGGCCGCTTCGGGCGGCAACAACGTGTGGGACCGCGAGGGGCTGATCGAGCTAACGCACAACTACGGCACTGAGAACGATGCCGAGTACAAGGTCAACAATGGCAATGTCGAGCCGCACCGCGGCTTTGGCCATACGTGCATCAGCGTCGACAACATCCAGGCTGCGTGCCAGCGCATCGAGGAGGCCGGCTACAAGTTCCAGAAGAAGCTGACCGACGGGCGCATGCGCCATATCGCATTCGCGTTGGACCCTGATGGTTACTGGGTGGAGATTATTGGGCAGAAGCCCGTGGAGGAGACGGAGAATGTCAAGGAGACGGATGTTGAGACGTATCGGATGGTGGGTTTTCTTTTAGTGTTTTTCTTCCTCGACCAACCTTGGCTGAATGCTAACTCAAGCAGAACCACACGATGCTTCGTGTCAAAGACGCCGAAAAGTCGCTTAAGTTTTACCAAGAGGCTCTGGGCATGTCACTATTCCGGAAACACGAAGCTCAGGCAGCTGGATTTAACCTCTACTTCCTGGGTTACCCTGGAGAGAAGGGGGCTCCCATCGAGGGTCAGAGTACCGCCGACCGCGAGGGCCTCCTCGAGTTGACCTGGAATTACGGCACCGAGAAGGATGAGAACTTCAAGTATCACGATGGCAATAGCCAGCCTCAGGGGTTCGGACATATTTGTGAGTTCCACTAACGGGGAAGTTTAGTAGGGGATACTAATCTAACGTAGGCGTCTCGGTCGACAACCTCGATGCCGCCTGTGCCCGGCTCGAGTCTCTCAACGTCAACTGGAAGAAGAGGCTGACTGACGGTCGCATGAAGAATGTCGCCTTTGTCCTCGACCCGGATGGATACTGGGTTGAGATCGTCCAGAACGAGCGATTCGCTGACAAGGCCAACTTCTAAGGCTCCGGGTATGCATGTCCGCGGCGGAATGCTGCCCCCTAATGATAGGCAAAAGGCGCGTGACACTTTCCATTTGGAGATTCAAGGTAACCAGTCAGGCGCCCTGTTCCCCACGCCCTGCGCTGCACCGATCGATACTGCGGAGTCGTGATAATCGTGCCGGAGTGAGGCGAAGCTTGCAGACTCCTGCATCCACCAACCAGAGACTGCATCGATGGGCGAGTCGGAGGTCCTGGCAACCTTTTTGCGGGATGCCCGCATTAGTCAAAGCGTGGGGGAGTGAGGGGTTGAAGGTTTCAACTACAAGCAGAGGTTTGAATAGAGCTCGCGCATAGGCCCGCCAATGCATGCACGCCGTCTTGGCTTCCCTCTCAAAGGTGATGACAGATGCCACCGGATAATGGGAATGCGGGTTAGGGGATGGAACAGCACGACAATTGCTGTCGGCTGCGGCGGGCGAAGGGTCCTTGTCCCTTTATGTGACCCTACGTCTCGACCGGATGAAGGAACGGCCATCCACCCCGCTCCCGAGCCACTTTTAAGATCACCACCCTGGCCGTGTAAGTGGTGAGGTTCAGCTGCAGTAAGCTGCGTATTGCTTGACTATTTGGGTATGCTGCAGCTGCCGTGTATTAAAGCAGAGACAAGTGATCACAGGCCAGGGATCGGCTGAGGAAGTTGGTCCGTGGGCGGTGGGCGAGGGGCAAAGACGGCAGACTTACACGCCTTTATAAAGAGCTTCATCCCCCCTTTCTAGTCCCATCAACCACCACGTCCCAAGCCCAATCCCTCCAGAACCAGCAACCATCACAACCCATACCAACACCAACCCAAACAAAAATAAACGAAAAAAGAATCAGCACCCAACATGGCACCCTCCGCCCTCTCCTCCACGCCCCCCTCTCCCACCCGCACTCCCCTCCCCCGCATCCTCGTGCCCGAGAAACTCTCCCCGGAAGGCCTCGCCCTCCTCCGCTCCACCGGTTTCCAAGTCGACACCCCGGCCCCGCCCCTCTCCGCCGCCGACCTCCTCCAGCAGATCCCCACGTACCACGCGCTGATCGTGCGCTCCGAGACCAAAGTCACCGCCGCCGTCCTCGCGGCCGCCAGCAAGCTGCGCGTGGTGGCGCGCGCGGGGGTGGGCGTGGATAATATCGATGTCGAGGCGGCCACGCAGCATGGGGTTATTGTCGTGAATAGTCCGAGCGGGAATATTGTGGCGGCTGCGGAGCATACGGTTGCGTTGTTGTTGGCGTGTGCGCGGAATGTGGGGAGGGCGGATGCGGGTATGAAGGGGGGCAGGTGGGAGAGGGGGAAGTTGGTGGGTGTGGAGGTGGGCAGTAAGACGTTGGGGATTGTGGGACTGGGGAAGGTGGGTATGAAGGTTGCGAGGATGGCGAAGGGGTTGGGCATGGCGGTGGTCGTGTATGATCCGTATGCGAGCGCGGAGGTGGCTAAGCAGGCGGGGGTGGAGTTGAGGCCCGAGTTGAGTGGGTTGTTGCCGGAGGTGGTGAGTGCTCTTTTGCCTTCTTTTTTACCTTTGGCTCTCCTTTATACTTCTTTTTGTGTGGCATGGCCGTCGAGAGGTGTTGAGCACAGCTTGGTGTTGGGAGTTTTGTCTTACTTCAAAGCTGTCTGGCCCGGGGGTGTTTGAGACAAGGGACATGGCTGACATGGACTAGGACTTCCTGACAATTCACACGCCACTACTGGCGAGTACTCTGAACCTACTCGGGGAGAAAGAACTCCAGTCGATGAAGAAGACAGCGCGGGTGCTGAACGTGGCGAGGGGTGGCGTGTACAATGAAGAGGCGCTGTTAAAGGCCCTTGATGAAGGTTGGATTGCAGGAGCTGGGCTGGACGTGTTTACTTCCGAGCCTCCTGCCGAAGGGTCTGTGGCTGCAAAGCTGGCCGCGCATCCCAAGGTGGTGAGCACGCCGCATCTCGGTGCGAGTACTGTCGAGGCACAGGAAAATGTCTCGATGGACGTCTGCACGCAGGTGGTGGAGATCCTGAGCGGAGGGTTGCCCACGGCGGCGGTCAATGCCCCGTTGATTCTGCCGGAAGAGTACCGACGGCTGCAGCCGTTTGTCAAGCTGTACGTTTCTCACCCCCCTTTACCCCCTTTTCACAAAACAACAATACCGACTTTCGCAGTGTCGAACGTATGGGCAGTCTTTACACACAACACTTTGCCGAACGCGGTGGCATGGTTGGCGGCCGGCGTTTTGAGTTGGTGTACCACGGCGAGCTGGCTGGCATAAACAACACCCGGCCGTTATTTGCGGCCCTGGTCAAGGGCCTCGTCAGCTCCATCAGCGACCTCGGCGGGCGGGACGTCAACATTGTCAACGCCACGCTGATCTCCAAAGAGCGTGGTATTGCTATCGACGAGAAGCACGTCCGGAACGGTGGCAGTGTGCCAACTTATGCGAGTGCTGTGACCCTCCGCAGTCTGAAGATTGATGACGGCGCAGGACAAGCCAGCGAACAAATTATTGAGGGATATGTGAGTGGCAATGCTGTGTTCATCTCGAAATTAGACCGCTTCAGGGCAAACTTCCAACCCGAGGGGACGCTACTGGTGTTGCACAACTATGATGAGCCGGGCAAGATCGGCAATGTCGGCATGGTCCTGGGCAAGCACGGGGTCAACATCAACTTCATGCAAGTTGCTGCCCTCGAGGACGGAGCTGGGACGTCAACTGTGGTCCCCGTGGTTGACGGACCGGTGGAGACGGCGGGCCCTGCTGCGAAGGAAGCACTCATGATCTTGGGGGTGGCGGGGGATGTCACCGAGGGGTTGCTCAGCGAGTTGAATCAGTCAGAGGGCATCTTGCACCTCAGTTTGGTCAAGCTATAACCGTCTCGGTTTCTTGGAAACGACTTTATGACTCTCACTTTTTTGCTTTAGCAACCTTTGTTTTCTGCATGGCGGTTTCAACATTTCAGCATCGATCCGAGTTGGTTCAAAGATATTCTTCTCTCTTTATGTTGTTTCATGAGGCCGCGGATTTTCTTTTGGGCAAAGTTATGTGGTCGTGACTCTTTGAGACCACCATAACATATTATAAAGAAACCTTTTCAAGCCAGGCTAAGAAGCAAAATGCCCTGTGATGAGCTGAGACCTCATGGCGGTGACGGAGGGGTGACAAAAGGGGAAAATGGTGGTCTAAGTGGTCAGGGTTAGGGTACCCATACTGCGTGCTCAACGGCGAGCGGGGGGGATATTTGGATGAAAATGACATGGTCACCCTTGAACATTGCACCCCACCAAACCCCTGCTGATGGAACGCTGCAGTGTGGTGGCAGGGACCCAAATCCCGATTTTAGCCCTTTGGCTACACCGAGCAGCGCGGTCTATTTACCTTCCTACCTTATTCAACTCTTCACCCCCGCGTTCCCGTGCTGTTGGGCAGATGCTGACCTTTTGAACTGTTGGCCCTGGTGCCTAATGGGTCGATTGCTCTTTTAACCACGCATTACAGCTAATCAGCTTCGGTTTATCGCCGGTTCAAACAAGGACGACGCGTGTGAATGAGGGGCCACAACCCACGCCGTATCCGACTCCCTTCGCCGTTATGGACGACCTGTCGCGGATGTCGGACGTGGAGGGTGAAGTGGCTGTAGTCGATGATCGAGGTTTTGGGCCGTCGGGCAAAAATATCATTCCATCGCCAGCACCCAAATCACGGTCATTATCGGATGGAGGAGGGAATCCCAGGTTATCTCCCTCCCCCCACATTGTCGAGGCGGTCCTTCGCCAGTCAAAGGACGATATCGCAATTCGCGACAAGGACCACGAGCGCATGTCATCGCTTCCCTCAACTCCGATCCGCGCAAACTTTTCCGCTCGAGGTCTTTCGGTACAAGTACCCCCACACGAATCTGCATCACCCGCTTCCCAGTCCGGCTATGCCAGACCCGCTCCGCCGTCGCCGAAACTCGAACACCACTATTCGTCGCCCACGAACATCCTGCCGCGCCGATCGCGGGGTCTGGATTTTACTCGCGCCGCCACCAGCCTTCACCATTCCACCCTCGCCGGCCAGACTTCTTCTGATTCATCCCCCACCGTCGGCTCCCGGGCCATGAACATCCCCAGCCGCCGCGCCGAGTACGGGGGAACCGACCAGACATCGACGTCGCTGTGGTCGATGATGGGTAGCCAGGAGCGCATGCACATTTCCAGTTCCGTGGGAAGCACCGCTCGTGCCATGTCCGACCTCTCATCCAGCTCAGACGACGACGACTATATGGACGAGGACATGGACGACAGTTATATCACAACTCCACAAGTGCAAAGGGTTGGCATGCCCAGCGCCGCTTCGGCTGTGGGCGCGCCGTGGATGCCAGGCTCTCCAGCCGCCAGTAACCTTTTGAGTTTTCAGCAGCGCCAGCGCCAGCGCCAACGCAAACACCCTCAGAAAAAGCCCCGCGGGCCATTGGGGCTCGGCTTTCATTCTCCCGGCCCGGCCGCCCTGTCAAAGTCTCCGCCCAACAACAACATGGTTGGTGGTCTAAACGAGATGTCGCCCCATGCGAGACGTGAGAGCATCAGTTGGGCTGCCAACCAGTTACACATCTCCGGTAATGAGAGCGACGACAGTCATAGTAGACCCCCCGACGCCCTCGACAGTCCGTCGCGCCCAAGTATTGTTCGGCGTGCCGTAACGCGGCGCGGAAATTTGCTGGTAGGCATAATCTCCATCCCTTAGCATCCCCACGCTCACGCTCACCCTCGCAGCCCAAAACAAAAGGATTTGCGCGAATCCGCGCTGCCCTCGCCGAAGAGAGCGCACCTGTGGAGTCGGAATTCCGCCACGAAGCCGAGGTTGTCCGTCAGGTCCGTGAGAGCGACATGGACCTCGAACCCAGACCGTCACAAGCAACAGTCCTGTCTAGCCCCAATCTGGCAACGCACGACAGCCTTGAGGAGATCAACGATGATATTATGATGATGGACCCGACCGCCAGCGCGTTAGGGGTCACAGGGACTTTTAAGCAACAGGCCATGAAGAACTCCAAGGGCAAGGTCTTCTGGGACACCTTTTCGGAAACGAGCAGCTCAGGCGCCACCCAGCGTGTAACCCCTCCCCCGCCGGCCTTTGGCCTCGCTCGGGCCTCGTCAGGCGTAGGCTTGGAAGATGTCAGCATGGGCTCACCCTCGGCCTCCTCCACCGGCGGCGCCAGCCAGAGCAACCCCTTCGTCCTTCCCAACGCCGGCACACAAACAACAAGAAGCAGTTCCGGCCACGGCACGCCCTTACCCCCTCCTGGCCATGGTAACAACAACAACAACAACAACAACAACAACAACAACAACAACAACAACAACAACAACAACAACAACAACAACAACAACAACAACAACAACAACAACAACAACACCCAGAGCAACAACCAATACTCCACCGCAACCCCCAGCAACCCCAGCAGCCAAAGCGCGATCCACCCCCACGGACCACCAATGGGCATGCCCATGTCGACGCCGCCGACGGCCGCCGAGATCACGCGGCGCATTAACAGCAAGCGGCGCCGCGACGACGACCTCGACCCCGTCAGCATCAAGCGCCGCGCCGTCAGCCCGGGCATGAGCGTCCACAACTCCCCCGTCATGCAGTCCCCGCTGCAGCGAGACATGGAGCCGTGGGGGACTGGGACTGGGAATGGGAATGGGACTGGTGGGGGGCCTGGGTCGGCCATGTCCATGTCTTCGCGTCCGGGTAGTGTGGGCGGGGATAGTAGTGCTGGGGGGAGTGCCCATGGCGGTGGTGGTGGTGGTGGTGGGAGGGGTGGGAAGGTCAGGGTTGGGTTCCAGGGGATGGTGGAGACGCATGATGGGATTACAAGGTTGAGTATTGAGTAGGGGATGGATAGGGGGCGAGTGGGTAGGGGGCGACTGGATAGGGGAAGGAGGGCGGGGGGAGCGCGTCCTGGGTGTATAGCGCGCGCGCGTACAAACACACACACACACAAGCATGCACTCTAGGGCTCATGGCGTTGGTTTGGTTGTTTCTTGGGGCTGGCTCGGTGGTGCATAGGACGGTTGGGACGGTTGGGATGGACTGGGATGGGGCCGTGAACACGGCATCTTTTTTTGCTCCTAGGGTAATATCGTCATCATCTGGAGTAGGCGTTTGGGTCTTTCTATTTTTAGGGATGCGTTAGCTTTGGTAAAACAGGGACAGGGGTAATTTATGGAGCGGCTGTTCTCGAGAGGCAAGAAGAGATGAGACGATGTGGCGTATCGCCTGCTTTTGATCGCTCACGCTAATCTATCTGACTACTTGGCCAGAGAGCATAGTCCAATACAGCTGTTTCCAACCAAAGACGCCCGCCCGCCGTCTGTGTCGACATGGTTTTGAGGGCCCCTATCTTATCCTACCCTAGCCTGGTCTTGATACCTGCCAGGTTCAATTCGCTATCCTTTTGCTTTTCCCCAATCCCCCCACCTCCCTCCCATAAAAGATCATCCTATTCCACCCAAACACACATCCTTTCCACACCCGAATTCCAATCCTCCCCACCCTTCCTACCCTCCTTCCCTCCCTCCCTCACCTCATCTCACCTCCAACCCATCCGTACCCGCACCCACACCCACACCCCCACTCCCACCAATGCCCATCCCAATCCCCTCCTCCGGCACGCACAACCCCCCCAGCCGCTCATCCAACCACCGCGCCAGCTCCTCCACCTGCCGACGCATCAGCGACGCGCTGGCCCCGCCGCCTGACACGGTCGCGGTGCTGGCCGTCGACGCGCCGCCGGTCGTGTGCGCCGTCTGCGTGGACAGGATGGACGCCTGCGAGGGCGAGCCGGGGAGGGGTGTGGTGCTTCCTGCTCCGCCTCCTCCTCCTCCTGCTGCTGTTGTTGTTGTGGTTGTTGGGGTGGTGAGGGTTGTGGTGGTGGTGGTGGTGGTGGGTGGGGGAGGGGTCGTTGTTGTTGATGTTGTCGGGGGTGGTGCGGATGGTTGTGGGGGGGTTGATGGGCGTGATTTGGCTGTGGTGGTGGATGGATCGGCGGTGGCTGCCCCGTCTGGGGGTTGTTGGTTTTGTGTCGGCGGTTCTGTCGCCGATGCTATTGGGGCCGGGCTGCGGCTAAGCCGGGTGATGTGCGGAGCGGGAGGGGTCGGCGTGGGTCGGTCGGACGCGGCGCTCTCCGCGCCGCCCATGCAGATGAAGAGCATCCCGCAGCGTAGGCGGCGGATGACAAAAACCGCGCCGCTGTCGAGTTGTACGGTGACGGTCGGCGGCGAGTGCTTGCCGCTCTTACGGGTTCGGACGGTGCTGCCGGGGGCAATCGAGGAGGTCGCTTGTTCCGACGGTTGGCCTGTGTGTGATGGTCCCTGGAGGGCCCAGAGCGAGGCGGCGACGGCGGCCTGACGACGGAGGGCGCTCGCCGGGAGGTTACTAGCGTGAGCAAGCAAGCTGCCGGCCGGGGTAGTCAGCATGGCCGAGTGGATGTGCGGCGAGAGGTTGGCTCGTAGGAAGGACGTGACCCTCTTGGTGAGAAGTAGAGGAGGCGGCGGCGGTAGTATTCTAGACATGGTGGCGGCGGCGTTCTTGGGAAGTGAAGCTACGGGCTGAAGAGCAAGATTGGGGAAGAGAGGAAGAGTTCAGGTTCGGTTCGGTAGGTGAGGTGACCGAGTGTGGGGTTGGGGTTAGGTGGGGAATTGTTACACTGATCAGCAAGCGCTAATTTAGCGAGAAGTTGTAGCACAGACCACATCACTACGCCTCACCCCATCAGCCCAAGGAACGAACCTCTTCAGACGAACCTGCAAGGAACAGGATCAGGTATCTGGGTATTTTGGAAAAGCTATACGATGGTGTTTCTTCTCGAATATTCATAATAATATTCTGAACCCCATCCAGGTAACATCGAAATCAGATAACCAAAACATTGTCATCCAAGTCCATTCCGTCGAATTCTTCTTCCTCCTCTTCCTCTTCCTCCACTCGACGCCGCTTCTTTAACCTCGACTGGTTCTGCTTGCGCAGCCAAATGTCATCAAAAATGTCCCTATACAATTTCCCGTCTTCTGTGTTTGCCGCCCAGTACTCAAAGCCAGGCCAGGATGTATTCAACACATCACTCGCCGCCCACTCGTCGTTACGGTTGAGTCGCAGCAGCAAGGTGACGAGGTTCTTGAGGCCGGTTGTGTAGTTGAACAGCGGGTCAAGCACCGTGTTGATGTTGACATCCCCTACACAGTCATGCGGACAGGGGATGTACGCGCGGGAATCGCTGCTGGTGAGGTGGACGCAGTCGCAGCGCGGGCATTCCTCAGTTGGTGGCAGCTCCCGCCCGCACATCATGCGATAAAGCATCGCCCCGACTGCAAACAGCTCACTACCTCGAGTGTATGGACGTTCGTCCTGTTCAAGTCAGCATCTGCTCATCCGGGTCCGCAAATCAGAAAGGTAACAAACATACCCTAGCGACATCCAACCCATCCCTCATCCACCTCCCCTTCCTCTCCCTCAGCGTCCCCAACGACACCCCATCCTCCGTCTCCATCGCAACCACCGGCGTCTCCTTCATCTTAGCCACGCTCCCCGAGATATAACACTTCTCAAAGCTCCCCAGCTTCACCGCCCCATACGTCTCAAACCCCTTCGGAAGCTGCAGAAACACATTCTCCGCCTTCAACCCGCGATGCAGCACCGGCATCCAATCCGCCTCCGCCTCCGTCTTCCCCCTCAACCTCTTAAACCCCCTCACGCTCCCCTCATGCGGTACGACCGCGTACGTATCCCTCACCCCCTCATGCAGCCACTGCAGCGCCCGCAACAACCCCAGCCCAACATGCCACACAAACGACTCGGGCAAGAACCCGCCCACCTCCATAAAATCCACCGCCTTGGCCCCGGCCCCGCGCGGCGCAAAATCCTCCAACACGTCCCGCAGCGTGCCCGCGTTGGGGAAATCCCACAGAAACATGCGCCGCGCGCTGCCGTCGCCCAGCGGGTCGCTGAGGGACCCGGCGTCGCCCTGTCCGCGCAGGTGCAGCGGCACGTCGACCAGCTCGTCGTGGATGGAGACAATGTTTTCGTGGTTGAGCAGGTTGGCGGCTGGCGCGGCGGCCCCGCTGGCCAGGAGGGATGTTAGGCGCGCATGCTCGCGGTGGTGGTGGTGGCGGGTTCGCTCGGCGATGGGGCTGCTGCTGCTGGTGGTGGTGTTGGCGTGCGGATCGAGGGGCCGCGCGAGCAGGATCTCGCCGTCGGTTGTGCGCCGCGCGAGGAAGAGGTTGGCGTCGAGGGGCTTGAATAGGACGTAGCTGGCTTTGGGGAGCGTGGGAGTGGTTAGGGTGGTCATGGTGGATGGTTGAGGGGGGTGGGTTTTGGTGGTGGGTGGTGGGGTGGTGTCGACTCGACTCGGTGCTCTGTTTGGAGAGGACCTAGGGATTTGTGGGATGGGTGAGACGTTGTCTCTGGGGAGTTTTGAGTTGGCGGCTCGCGGGTTTGGAATGTGGTGCTCATGCATAGCTGTCTTTGTTCTGGGCTGCATTCCTGATCCGGGGATTAGGGGCCATGTACGCTGCGCCACCTCTGCCATCCATCTGATCTCAAAGCCAGGTGAGCTTTTACATTGTTCTCTTTGCTGACAGATTCTCCGGAAGCCGACAGGTACATGGCTGAACTCTGGCTTGCTCGACTGTCCTCTGCTAGATGCAGGTCATTCTTGGCTGCTAAGCGGACAAAGAACAGCTTCGGTGGTTCACAATTCCGTAATTGACTGCCTAGTCGACGGGGCTATCCGTTAAATTTTAAAGGTACCAGCTACATCTCAAATGACAATCCGGTGCTCCTCGCCTACAGGTCTTGGTGAGTTTCAAACAAAGGATTCACACAGCCCCCCATCCACCCCCAAACCCACCACCTTCCCCAACCTCGCCCACCAAAACCTCCTCTTCGCCAGCCTCGCCAACAACGGCCTCTCCCCCCTCGAACCCCCCACCTCACCACAATACCGCCTCAACCCCCTTCCCATCAAAAAATACAACCCCCGCCAATCCAACTCCCGCTCCACCCGCGCCGGCAGCGCAAACCCCATCTCGAACGCCGGCCCGAACCGGCTGCGCCAGAAGCTGCGCGGCAGGCTGGCCAGCCCGCTCACGCTTGCTACGGCGCGCGAGGCGATGCGGAGGTGCAGGAGTGTCGGTGTGGGGGTGTGTTCGGCGAGGAGGTGCAGGAGTTCGGGGGGGAGGGTGCTGAAGGGGTCGGGGTTGTTGGTGGTGGTGGTGTGAGTATGGGTGAGAGGCCGCCTTGTTGGTGCGGTGGTGGAGGAAAATAGGTTGAGTTGTTCGAGGGAGATGGGTTCGTGTATGCTGGGGAGGTGCTCGAGGCCTAGCTCTGCGGCGAGGCCGTCAAAGCTGTCTAGTTGGTGCATGTTGGCGCGGCGGGCGTTTCTTCCGGGGGGTGTTGGTGTTGTTGTTAACCTAGGGGACCCGCTTGAGAGACGGGGCTGTGATGTGGAAATGGGGGAGGCGGTGATGTGGTCGCGGTAGGTGGTAAGCAACGAGTTGCAGAAGGCTGTTGCGCAGGCCGTGGGGTTTGCTACCCGGCAGGCGACGAGGTCCCAGCAGTCGGCGTGGACATAGAAAGTCCAGGCTTTTGGGGTTGCTTTGGTGTAGGTTGGGTCGTGCATGGAGTTCTCCAGAGGTGAGCGCAGCTTTTGCCTCCTACTAATATTGCAGGGAGGGGCGACGAGCACGGCCGAGATGCTGGCTATCCTTTCCCGCTCAGAGACATCTTTCGGGAGAGTAATCTCTCTAAACAATGCTGACCGGTAGTTTCGGCTGTGGCGGTACCGCAGTATCTCACTTTCTCGGCCACAGAGCCAGCAGTTGCGATCTGAGGCAACGAAGGGGCCTGGAAAGCATGTAGTATAAGTCGTCATTGTTGGGGCATGGGGTAATCAGCGCCTTGTGAACTTAGGGATCCTTTCCACTGCGAGTTGAGATGGCTTCCAGGGCAGGCCAGATGCCATATAAGTGATAACAGCAACATCATACACTCATCCCCTTTCCCCAACAAACAATATAACCAACATAACCCCCAAACCCAGCTCAGAACTTACCTCCATTCCGGCAACGTAATGATGTCAACTCCCGGCAGCAACCCAAAGCCGAACGCGGCGGCCTTCACCAGACCTTCACCCGAACCAACACGAAACAAAGCAGTTGGCGACGGCTGAGGCCCAACAGCCCCCGACACCACACCAGGTAGCGGCAAGCAACTCGGCCCCGGGACAAAGACATCATCGCCACCACTTTGCCGTGTCAGTCTTGGCGAAGGACCGACTAACATACAACAAACTATCCACGACACGGCCCTGCATCTATCACTGCAGCAGTGCAGCTTTTAGGTAACACACATCTCACAGCACAAGACAGCGCGGCTATCAGAGAGAATGCAACGCAACCCAGCACAACGCAACGCAACGCAACGGGCCGTGTCCAACCGCGCCGTGCCGCCCGCACCCCGCCATCAACATTGCCCAAGCAGAACGACCACTACCAGCAGCTCACCATCTACTGTGTACTGTGATACGGTGTGTGAGGGTAACAGCGCTGTTGGCGACAGTTCAGACGGGGCTCGTCACACATCATCACATCACACCTAGAGAATACCACGCAAGATTGGCCGCTCGACGCTCAGCGTCCGTGTCCCGGCTGGCTGGGACCAGATTTATTTCGCCTTGCGCACGCCGCGCCGTGCCGAGATTAGCTGAGCGGGCTGAGCTGAGCTTTGCGTATCACACATAGTGTAGTTTATGGTGCTCGGTGATGTGATGGGCGGCGCGGAGGGGGGGGAGAGGTAGGGGTGCGGCGCCGTTGGGGGGTGCTGTGCCGCCGGTAGAGCCACACACCGTAAGTGCAAGTGATAGGTATATGCGGGTTGGGGTGGTGGTGTTTCGGGGAAGCTGAAAATGGTTGGTTTGGGGATTTATGGTGTTGTTGGGCTGGGAGGGGGGAGAGGGAGTCTTCAAAGGATAGTTCTCGTTGTCGACTCATATGGACGGCAGTTGGAAGCGAGTGATCGGATGCAGCACCCCCCCCTGAGAATCCCTCCCGTGTGAGCTGCAGATGTGCATACATGGTTAATACCCCGTGGCAAACCCGGGCAGCTTCCAGTTGCAGTTATTCTTTCCTATTTGCAAATAGCCCCATTGCGTCTGACTTCAGATGATGCCCAGCGAAGGACGTGTAGCAGCTCCTGCCTGCCCGACCACGCCGGCGCAGACAGACATCCACTGCACCCAACGAGCACTCTTCCCAGGATGCATCTTCTCCGTGTCTATCCCATCAAGTAGTACATCGTTCCCGTGTTCCGGCGACGCAACCCCCGTCTCCCGTCTCCCGTCTCCGGCACAACGCGCGATCGACAACCCCTGCCGAGCTTCCGCTAACACAGCCACCCCCATCCCCCGCCAGAGATATGCCATCCGGTTTTCAATTCCACAGACAAGATTGGAGCGCTATTAGAGCGTGAAACAGGCGCTTCATTGAACGGCTGGACTGGCATCCAAATATAAGTATCATCCTGAGGGCTCCATGCCTTGGTCGGAAGACATACCCCTCGAATGTATGAATGGATGTATAGGTGCTGACTTAACTGTCTGTGGATATTGATGATGGATATCGGGTGTTGACACCGAAGATAGCTGTGTCTGATTACTGCATGTTGTGAATTTTCAATTCTTTCCTTATCTTCCTCCATGTAATATTGTATAGTTATACTGTATGTCTATATACACCTGACCCTCACCATGTTTTATGCTCTCATCCGACGTCCTCCTAGCGTTGTACACCCTTAGTCGATGACGAGGTCTGCCTCGTTAGCCCTTCTCCATGGACATCCAAATCCATTCGATATCGGACACAATAGATACCGTGAGCCAATCGGGAAATTTGTCATATTGTCCCTTCCTTCAGTGTAGCCAAAAGAGATCCCAAGAGAAAAAGGGAATTGGTTACAAGCCACGGCTGTGTCCTATGGAAGACTCCTCCGTTTTGAGAAGGCATCTCCGTGCCTCGCTCCAACACCGGGTGTATTTTTCGTTTTATTTTGGTTTCGAGCAGTGGGGTCTTGGCTTGCAGCACTCGAGCGGGAGAGAAAAAGATACCGGGGGCGGGCGTATTCATGAGTCCCGCAGTTCGATCGTCGGATGGATGGTAGGTTGCCTCTATCGTACAATATCGCACACTCCAATCGCACGTCAGATTTAAGCGAAGGCGCCAACGATGGACATGCCGATAGCTAGCTGGGTGTCAGTTTCTACCACATGCTTCAAGCGAGAAGTGAGTGTCTTACCTCCGAGGATCACAAAGGAAAACGCCATCATCCGGTCCTTCTTGGTCATCCTGCTGGCTTCCTCAGACAAAAAGTCCTCGGCCAAGAGATCGACAAGAGAGGCGTAAAGCAGGAGACCGGAGGAGCTAGTAAACGTTAGCTAAATGGCACACCCGCCACGCTGATACGGGAGCCACTCACATGGCATTGAAGACGCCCACAATAATCAACCCGAACGCGCTGTTGGGGTCGTACGTATCCCTAACGATGAGCCCAATTGCCTGCCCGAGAGGCGCGGTTGTCCCGAACGCGACTACTAACAACCACGGGCGGGGGCTCCCACGGCGGTACGGGACATCGGCGATACGGGACCCAAGACCGAGACCCTCAAACATTTGGTGAAAGAGGATGGCGACGAGCAGGACGATAAAGCCGTCGATGGTGATACTGACCGTCATACCAACAAAGACCGAGTGGAAGAGAATACCGCCCTCGAGGAGGGTGATGTTCATCGACATCTTGCGGTACACGGACGGGTCGACCGGCCGTCCCGTTTCCACGTCGATGTACGGGGAGTCGGCCAACGACACCTCCTTCTCCGTGATCATGGTCTGACGCTTCTCGGACACGTCGTCTTGCTGCTGCGGCCGCGCGGCCTTGATCATGTTGATCATCTCGAGCCTCTGGCGGACGTATTGCTCGTAGAAGACGACGAACCAGGGCGGCATCTCGGACTGCGCAGAGAGCTCGTCGTTGTCGGCGTACGGGTTCCGCGGTGGATAGTCCCGCATCTTCTCGTCGTACATCTTCTGTGCCATCCTCTTCTCGTATTCCACGTCCTCAATTTCGAACTCGTCAGCGGCAGTGTACCTCGGGGGCCGCGGAGGCGGGTTTCCGCGGTTGACTTGTTCCGGGGCCGGCCTGGGACGGCTCTGCGTCTCGAAACCCATGGGCCCGCCGTGAGAGTGAGAGTGACCGCCCATCTTGTTGTTGAGGTACATCTCGACGACGAACAGACAGAACATGGAGCCCATCATGATGACGCCGGGCATGGCCGGGTATTGGTCCGTAAACAGATCGGGGAGGCATGGATCGTTTAGGCTGCCGAATGCCGTTGGGAGCAACTATCAAGATATCAGCGTCTATGGCTCTACTCTTGCCCGAACGGTAGGCCGCTTACATGAACGAATGCTGTGGCAATCAGGACACCGGTACCAAAGTGTTTACAGAGAAAGAATGCCTTGGCCGGCACCTTGACCCACTTGACCTTCTTCGCAACGACAGGAAAGCCAGCACCAAAGATGGAGGCCCCTAGAACCAAAACTGAAGTCTATGTTAGTCTTTATCACCCCGCGTGATGGGGCTCTTGGACTTACACAAGGCCGCAACATGGAGCCCAAGATCGTAGTCGCCGGGCTCTTCTCCGCTTCCACACGCGGGCTTTCCCCCCATGAGATCCATCTCTGCACTGTCTGCCATTGTGTGGCGTCTTCTTTCCGGGATTCCGAAGTGATTCTCGGGGCTGGGGGCGGGATCGCTCCAGGCGTCTCGCCTAGAAGGAAGAGAAAGTCTCTATTTTCGAAAACGACCAGCGAAGCCGCCCAGCGGCTTCGAAAAAAGAAGGGAAGAGAATGTAAAGGGAAAGGGAGGTTAGGAAGTACGCCTGGGAGTCCCAACCATACAAAGGGGCAAAAGGGGGAAAAGAAGGAAAAGGGAAAAAAAGACTACCTAAACAAACGCGAATGAAAAGAAAAGAAGTCCTCCAGAGGACCGATGGCAAAGCCAAGAGGCGAATGCTAAGACGTTCCGGATGGTGGTTTGCTTTAGTATGCGCTCGCCTTGGCGCCGATCAACGGCTGGGGCAGGCAACATCTGCCGCGAGCGAGTCGTGCTCGATGAGATGCAGGGGCCACTTCGTAGCAGAATAAACAACGATAGCCCAGCATCTAGAGGGGCGAGTCATACGACTTTGCCAATGACCTACGAAGTACGCCTGTGGAGACGAACACATGCGGTGTTGTGAGCTGAAGATCCTGATGCCCTCCCATCTTTGAGACCTTTCTCTGATCCGTGATGTTTTAGGCCGGGATCGTTCATGTAGGGTGTTTCCTCAGGTCAAGACAAGATGTTGACATCACTTCCATTCTAGGCCGAAGGGTTTATTTTCGTGCTCTTGGCGGGTAGCAAGCCCAAACAACACCCCGCTCCCTACAGTATGAGTACCGACCAACTAACGACCCCTTCCTGGAGCCGTGCTTATCAAGAAGCTCCTTATAGGAAGAGTCTGGCAAGTGGTGGCGGGAAGAGAAGATGGACCCTTGTCGGCGGCGAATTTGGCATCGGCACATATGGGATTTGAAACAGACCCACCACGCTGGTGCACTTCGGAAGACGCTCCCAGCCGTCCAGTCGGGGATTTTCGCTGGACGACTTGCGTGTGAACGTCGAGGTCCGCTTTGCAGGTCTCAAAGCAACCCTGCATCCGATGCCGTCGTCAATGCAACCAACAACAACATCCATATTAAACAGAGAGGCGTGAGTCGTTTCTGGCTCGCTTTTCTCCGCTTGATGGTTTCAACCGGAGTCTCTCCGCAGAACTTCTTGAGTCTCCTGACTTGGGGGTGGTGGAGGAAAGCAGTTCGATGTCGGACTGGGGAATCCGGCAGAACTTGCCCTGGTCACAGCGAGACCAATTCGAGGCAATAAGTGCCGATGAGCAGGGGTTCAGAAGGGGTTGCATACAGGAGCGCAGACAAGGGACGCGTCCGTCCGTGTGTGGGGTGGCGGCTTGGCACGCGATCTTCCCGTTCAACACCACACTCGGTTTCTCACGGTTCTTGAAGAAGGAGGTTGGTCGTGTGTCTGCCTCTCTGCGTACAGGGATCGACTGGCCGGGTTAAGAACCATGGGAGCCGAGACCAAGATTTCGGCAGGGCAGGAAACAAGCCGCAGGGGTATAAAACCTGAACCGGCTCGGCATTCGGGAGCCCTTGTTTATCCAAGCTCAATGAGTTGCAACCTCATCGCTGCAGACCTGTAACTCTTGGCATCTGGCTTGCGCGCGGATCTTCTCAGAATGGTGCAGCAGATAGCGTCCGGAGCCGTCGGCTGCCGGTTGCTCGAAACACGTTGCTGGCCAACCACGGGGCAGCCTTTAAGGATATGATCTGGATCTTGCCACGGATAGCTCCGTCGTTGACAGCCCTTCCATGCATGGAAGCTTCGCAAACAAAGCCCTCGGCCGCAAAGGCTTCGGCTCTGTATCCTGGGCGGCTCCTGGCGCTTGGCGCTTGGCTTGGTGTTGCAGCAATGTGTGGTCGGTGGGTGGTCTGGACCGGAGGAGGCAGGTTGCGTTTGATCAAGCTTTTGTTTCCACTTGCGCGTTCTTCCCCAGAACACTTGGCGGTGGCTATACACGGGGTCAGAACGAACGGTAGCCGAAGCGGATAACACTTGGAAATCACCATGCACAAGCTGTCCTCGCTGCCCGCCGTGGGACGGTTTGAACAGTCCGAATGAAGCTCATATCACAGACAGACTCCGGCCCGTGTGCGCTTGGTCATTGCTGATCTGGGACGAGCATGGTAATTGCCAAGACTGCATTTGGAATTTGATGGTCAGGCAGTTTAGGAAGCTCTCTTAGGAAACGCATTGTTCGTCGTAACCCGGATCGACGTCGCCAACCGAACGTCTTCCTGTCGGAGGAGGTGCGAACCAGGCTCGGCGGAGTCAGGGTCTAGGCGATTGGTTTCGTGGTCTCGGGGTCCAACGGCTAAATTCTTCTGGCGGTCGTGAAGACGGTAGGCGGTGGTTAGCCCTGGGACGATAGCACCCCAGATGGAGCCAGGCAATGTGATGCAGGGTCAGTTAGGGCGAGTAAGTACGAAGTATATCGCTGCTGTTAAAGAAGAAACCTTTGTGGTTGGTCGTTTTAAACCCTTGCCAAGTCGCGTCAACCCCCAAGTAGTCTGAGACCTCTCCCTGATGCCACCCCGCATCGAGCCGCTTAACTTGCGATTGAGCTGCGAATGGTTTGTTCAAAACTAAAGAGAAGAATGAATCTGACCGAAAACGTTTTGATGGAAGGTGCTTTCTCACTTTTGCGCTTTTGGATGATGGGTGTTTGGTTAGGTTTCGAGAGTTGATGTGGGGTCATGGTTGCTCGTTAGTGGGTCCTTCACGTGGCTCAGGCCCTGAAGCTCCCTGAGTGGTGGGCTGATTTTCAGATGCCTTCGAGCTCCCGCCAAGCAGTTGAACATTTCATGATCTTTGTCGGATGTGAGCTCAGGAACGAGAGCGTTCCCAACAACAACCGCCATTCCCGGCGTAAGCCACCACAATGGCCTTCATTCAACTCGGCCTACGCAGGGCCACTGCCAGCCTTCCTCGGGTACCGTTCCCATGCAGCCCATGTCTGCGGCAGCAGGTTCCGGTCCCTCCGGCGCGAGTCCTGAAGCTCTTGGGAGCTACCCGAAGCTATGCCTCGAGGACTACAGCGGGTTCCAAGTCCCCAATTGGGTCGCTAAGCAGAAATATTACAAAAGCCGCACGGCCCGCGCCGCAATCTGCTTCTTCTCAGAGCTCGGGGAAGTCCTCGTCGTTCCCCAAGACTAACGCCAAAGTGGTGGGGTACTGGCTGATGGGCAGTGCTGTGAGCGTCTTCGGCATTGTGGTATTCGGGGGCTTGACAAGGTTGACCGAGTCTGGGTATGTGACCTTGCCGTAATTAGCCTTTCTGGGAAACTAAACATGGCGTAGCTTGAGCATTACTGAGTGGAGGCCTGTGACGGGCTCGTTACCTCCCATGTCTGACGCCGACTGGCAATCTGAGTTCGACAAGTACCGCGCTTCCCCGGAATTCAAGCTGATAAACCCGCACATGGATCTGGCCGAGTTCAAGAAGATCTACTTCATGGAATGGGCACACCGTCTGTGGGGTCGCGTCATCGGTCTCACCTTTGTTCTGCCGACCATCTACTTCATTGCACGCCGCCGGGTAACAGCGCGCATGGCTGTCAACCTGGTCGGCATCTCGGCTCTTATCGGTTTCCAGGGATTCATCGGATGGTGGATGGTCAAGTCTGGGCTCAAGGATGACCTCTTCGCCCCTGGCTCCCACCCCCGGGTTAGCCAGTACCGCCTGACCGCACACCTGGCTGCCGCGTTTGTCTGCTACTCCTGGATGCTCGTCTCTGGCCTCGGCGTGCTCCGGTCCCACCGCCTCCTCCGCGATCCAGAAGCCGCCGTCAAGACGTTTGCTGCGCTGAAGTCCCCCGCCCTGAGGGCCCTCCGCGGATCTGTGGCTGCCCTGACGGTACTCATCTTCACAACTGTTCTCTCGGGTGCCCTCGTCGCAGGCCTCGATGCTGGCCTCATCTACAACGAGTTTCCGATGATGGGCAATGGTCTTACACCGCCTAAATCCGAGCTGTTTGACAAGTTCTACAGCCGCAAGGAGGATGAGTCCGACTTGTGGTGGCGCAACATGCTCGAGAATCCCTCGCTCGTCCAGCTCGACCATCGAATCCTCGCCACGACCACTTTTACCGCCGTGGTTGCCCTTGTTGCCTACAGCCGGACTGGCCGCGTCAAGGCTGCGATGCCAAAGGATGTGCGCAAGGGCGTCATGGGCCTCCTGCATCTGGCGTTGCTTCAGGTTTCGCTTGGCATTACCACCCTCATGTACATGGTTCCCATCTCGCTTGCCGCCGCCCACCAGGCCGGCGCACTCGGACTGTTGACAATGGCTTTTGGTTGCTGGTCACCAGGTTGCGAGTTCCTAAGGCTACGCAAGCGTTAGGGTGCAGAAGGCGCTACAGAATTCTCGCGCGAGGCGCGGACCCGGCGCGGTAAGCCAGAAGCTTCTGAAGACGGCCGCTGAAAAGAAGAAGCATATAAATGCCGCCGACGGACGGCATGGTCTTCTGGAACTGGTCCGGATTGTATAATCTGTACAAATATGGTAGATATACCCCCCTTCTTCGTATGAAGCGGACTTCATGTAACTGTCAGGTATTGGAAAAGCAACAATTCTACTCCTTTTGATTTGGGGGCAAATATTCTCTCTGCTCATACCGACGTTGTCCATCCGCCACTTGGCTAGCTGGGCGCTTACTTGAACGAGCCACTCACTGAAACAGGTACGGGAATGGCGATATCTTCGCCTTGCATTCTATTTCTCGTGGAACTTGTTCAGTTGAACAGGCAGCTCAACCCAGTCCCCGAGACCTCAACGTTCCCTTTTTCAATCCTGCGAGGGGTCCCATGTCGAGCTGGGCTCGAGTCAAAGTAAATCTAGACGGGCCCATACCAAAGTTCGCTCCTGATACTCCTCACCTCAGCAAAGGTCATACGAGCTGTCACCCGTCCCTCGGTGTTTTAGCTCCGGTAATCGACGACTGAATTTGTGGCCTACCTATACGGACACTTTAATGTAGAGCTCACGGAGTTACCGTTGGAGTTTTTTTTTTTTTTTGCTCGGTCACATATATTACTGCTCTCCGCCGCGCCACTGCCTTCCCTGGCCGATCCTGCTCCCAGCTCTCACTTGTTTTCTGTCGTTCTGTATCGTTCCAACGTTGGATTTAGCGCCAGCCAAGAATTGCGGTAACGAACGGAGAACGACAGTTCCTCGGCATCCCGAATCTGCATCGGACCATCCCCACCAGCCTTCGCGCAGTTCAAAATAGGTAGTTAACTCAGCTCCAACACATTCGCGCTCAGCTTCAGCAGGCCAACTCGCCACTTCGGCCCACGCCTCAGCTCCAAATCACACCACCCAACACCACTCAAAAACAGCAATACCTGTCAGCCTCCCCCCCAAAACCCTCAAGAAAACACAAAAAACACCATCACCACCAAAAAACCCCCAGACCCAAAAAAAAACAAAGCATGTGCTACGAATGGAAAAACCGCTTCATCTGCGGGCACGTCGGCTTCCACAAGGTCGAGCGCTGTCCCGCGCTGGGGTCGGGCTGCTTCGGGCCCGACGGGTCGGAGCGCTTTCTGGACGTCGATGGGCTGTGCTACGACTGCACCGCGCGCTTGCTGGACCCGGCGTCGACGGCGACGGCGGGGGAGGGGGAGGGGGGGGATCCGTTGAGGAAGGGGATGGAGGGGTTGGGTGGGGGTGGGGGACGGAAGGGACTTGGAGGGGGGGCATGCAGGGGAGCATGGACGGGGGAGGTGGCCGGAAGCGGTGACCGAGATGGGCATGGAGGTCGCGGAAAAGCAGGCTGTGACCAGACAACATGATTGGAAATACAGTATTTGCGCCACAGTATGGCTTCGGCATCTGCGGGACATGTTCGAAAATGTAGACGTGATCGGGAGTCCCTCATTAAATGAACA